GTATAAGCTTCAGCGTTAGGCAGTCTGAGAAATTTTGCTATTTTTGTGGGAATAGCTGAAAAAGTGTTCTTTCCCACAGGCTGATTCAAGCATTTGCCTTCTTGGTATCTCAAAAAAAAGCGTTGTTGGGATCTTTCAACCAACGATCTTATTTTGAGATATCTTTTAAAAATGTTTAAATGGCAGATTTTACTGTCTTTGTCTGCAGTGATGGTGAATCTTCTAGATGTACCATTTTTTGAATCAGGTATATTGATTATAATTAAATTTTCCATTTCCTGGACATTCTCTACACTCAGATCGCATAATTCTTGTGAGCGGCATGCTCCAGCAATCCCGACGACCATCACTACCTTCATTAATAAAAAACTTCTATCGTCGGCTTCTGTCAAAAATTTTTCTATTTCTTCTCGCGTGAAAACTTGAGACTTTTTTGGCTTATAGCCATCATTTTTTCTCTTCAAAAACGCCTTTAGTTTAAGGAATTTGGAAATGTCTACATTGTCTTGAATGGATAACGTCGATTTTAGCATCGAATACTCACTCCATAAACTTGCAGGGGACTTTAGGGTCTGTGACTTCTCTACAAAGTACGCCAGCAAAGAGTTCTTGGTAATGCTTTCACCACTTGCAATATTACTGCACCAAGCCTTGAAGTCCTTGTAACACCGATTGTACCGTTCCTTCGATTTCTGAGGTAATAGAGCAGCACAAGCTGCATTCGCAACTGCATCGATATCCATTATTTCGATTTTTTTAATAAAATGACACTGACAGAACATTTGTTTGATTATAAACAATATGAATTCCATAGCGATCAACGTGTAACACTAGGAAACCTGTCATACATACAGGGTTTTTCAGTTAGATTAGTCAAATTATATAAGTAATTGAAAAACATTTTTTTTAATCTAAGGAAACTGGAGTAGAAAAAATATAATACAAAACTCGGGAGGCAGTGTTCTTGACCAGTCTCGGACTATTTTGCAAGCCCTCGCTATCGCTCGGGCGCAAACAATGTCCTCGACTGGTAAGTATCACTTGCCTCCCTTGTAGTGTAAATAACTATTTCTATTGATTGGGATCGTTGTTCTGATTCCGCGAAGAATAATAGGTATTATTCCGCAATTATAAGCTTCTTCAAAGCATTCTTTCGTGAACTAAACAATACCAATATTCGATGAACAATAATGCTGAAGTGGTTTTTCCACATCATTATGAACTTTTCAATAATTCATTGTTATTTCAAGAATAAACAATTACCTACCTGATTTTTAAATAGATAGGTATACTTGAATTGAATACATTGATCAAGAGTAAAACATCGAGGTTTCCGTAATATATCTACAAAATAACTGTGAGTACAATATTTTGACACCTATACCTATACCTTCAGCATCAACTATACGAGGTGGAAAAAAACTACGAATATGGAAGTTGTAGGGTTTCAATTGTACTATATCTTTTGGCACTCTTTGAATAAACAATTGCGAATCGTAATCAGTTTCTTCAAATGGAACACCCTGTGAATTTTCAACTTTGGTCAATGATATTTTTCGCCTGTTCACAAATATACAGCGACTTACCTCTGGCTGAAGTTGCATCGTTTCCGAGATACAGGGTGGTAAAGTTGAAGAATGAAAATCGAATTCCTCGAAATATATGGATATTTTCGAACGTATCACTTCAAGAATTGATATTCGGGGTGTTTTGGGATGCGAAACATGAATAAAGGCACCTTTTCACTGTGGCCATTAGAGGGCGTTAATCAATGCACTTCTTATGGTTTAGAATTGCCATAACTTTTTCTCAGTGTAGTTTCTTACCTAATTCGTTGAGTATACATTTTTCTGAACACTTTTGAGCAAAAAAGATAATGTGAATCTGCTAAATTATTAAAGTAAGCTGATTTCGAGATATTTCGATTTTCAATGTTCGATGTATCACCGGAATATTTAAATTATTTTGAATTAGCAATTTTTGCTGTTACATTCTTGGATGTAATTTGATTAGTAAATTGGCAGTGCAAAAATTTATTCTTCGAAATACTTTCTTGGAGTGTACTTGTCGATTTTTAATGTTTACCTTCGCCACTCTGTATCTCGGAAACGAAGCAATTCAGGACTGAGGTGAGTTCCATCAAATCGGCTCATTTTAACCATTTTAGCATTGAATCAAAGCTACTAATAACAGCAGAAATGCCATTGAACAAAACAGGGATCTTTTGACATCTCTCTGTCGGTTTTTCAATTAAAATGGATCATTTTGTAAAGGAAAATACGAATCAGTAAGACTATATTATGAAATTATTGCAGAAATTTGAAGCAAGAATTTAGTCGGAAATGGCTCAAGGAAACACCAGCAAACTATATATATATATTTTTTTTATATTCTGATTCCCACGAGAAGGGATATCCTGTAATGTTCAAAGAACATCGTGAGAACCAAGGGAAATGAGGTAGGAATTGGTGTTCTTCTTAAATTTCTGGAGGTTATATGCCTCGGGAAACACCTCCCTTGGCAATGTGTTCCAGTGCCTCGCTGTTCGTTGGATGAACGAGTCTTTGGAAAGTGATGTTCTGCAAGTCTCCAAAATGACCATGAAGGGGTGCGAAGCCTCAACTCGACGGGTTAATCTCACGGGGACTGCCAAGGGAGGAACAATTGTTGATATTTCAGGCGAGCATCTTCCATGAAAATATCTATAGAATAGAGCCAGATCACCTACTTTTCTACGGTGTTCCAGAGAAGTGAGTGAGTTTGTGAGCGAGTCATCACTCACGAGGCGAATTGCCCTTTTTGGACAGAATGCAACAGTTTCAGGGTATGTTCGGGTGCTGCACCACAAATATGGGAACAGTATTCCAGGACAGATCGGATCTGTGCCTTATAGATCATAAGCAGCTGACTGGAAGTGAAATAGCTTCTGGCCCAAAACAGAAATCAAGTTTTTGGGATGCACTATTAGCAATTGATCTCACGTGATTTTTCCAAGAAAGGTTATTACTGATAGTAGGTAATCCCAAGCATCGAAATGGATGTCTTCAAAGGTATGATTACTCCCGAAAAAGATCTTCCGTAACAGTTGATGATATACAGGTTGTTTCATTATGAAAAAACTGATATCAACTCTTTTTTTTCTCTTTCGCGATTCGCATTTGTTTATTCAACGAGTGCTAAAAGGTAGAAAAAACGCAACCCTACAACTTACATATAAGTTTTTTCCTTCTCGAAGCTGTAGGTAGGAGTCAAAATATATGGAGACATACAAAGAATGGAAGATTCATGGTCTGCTATCTATCTAATATTTGATCAATTTCAGTATGTGAACCAGATAGAGTGAGTTATGATTCGAAAGATTGTTTAAATTATAGAGGAAAACCGATGCTGGAAATTTCCACTCAATCCTGGAAAGTCACGAAACTCTTGGGAAATTCAAAGCGTACCTACATTTTGTATCGCTTGGAAAAACACATCATAATATGACTCATTGAGAAAAATTAACATGTTTTTCCCTAGATGGAGACGCAAAAACATCAATATGTCTTGTAGGTACACAGTGAGGCAAATGAACGGTAAAATTAATATTTCAACTGATATCTTCGAGAGTTATTGAACTATTCATATGTATTATCACGATGTTCTGAACATTCGAAAAAATAATTCTGTCGCTCCATTGTTCACGAAGCAACACCGCGAATCCGTCAAAACGAGTGGTATTGCTGTACGGCAGCACGATTTGTAATGTTTTGTAACTTGTAATGTTGTTTGTTTACTTGTAATGTTTAATAAATCAAATTGTGTTTTTTTTGACAAATTATCATAGCAACATATGTAATTTTATGGAAATTTTTTTCTTGTAGGTATACTCACCAATGAAATAAATCGGAAATTTTTCGACGTTTCAATGACAGAATAATATTTTGACGTTCTATAATAGTGATTTTGTGCTAATACAATGAGTAGAAATCAACAATCATTAGGCAGGGAATCAACTGATGGTGCCCAAACTGCTTCTATTATAGAGTATGGTATGTCATACCATACTAGCTGGGCCAGTGGAAGTCGTTTTTTGAAAGGCTAAAATTCGAAATCTTTGGAGCTGATACGCTTCAACATAGAGATATCATCAACCTGAGGTGGAGAAGACATACTGCGATCTTCATGAGAGAATATTTTTTTACGAATTTTTTGGGTCTATGCTTACTTTTTCTTCATATCAGCAAATCACTTGGTGGCAATGGAGAAAAAGCCTTCAAATGATATGATCCATATTTTTTTCCATAATTCGATGAAGCCCGTCAATCTGACTTCAAAAATAAATAGAATTCATGTATTATTTTCGAATAAAACTTAGACCATTTCATTTGAAATACTATTTTATTCTTTAGCCACCCTGTATTTTATTGATATGAAGAAAAAGTGAGCACAAATTCAGAAAATTCGGAAAAAAATATTCCAGGAATGTTTTTCAAAGGCCAAAATATGTTGAGAATTACGAGGATAAAGAAAGGTGACACATTTAGGTGGGACACCCTGTACCTGCCTAAGAAAAATTGATTGAAGAAATTATAGTTTTCAACCACCTGTAGTAACCTGAAGTTGATGTAAAATGCAAGAATATAATATGTTTCATTCTAAAATATTATTTTCATGCAACTACAATAGATAGAAAATAGGAATTTGTGAGCTAGGAAACTATTTTCGGTGCCAAAACTGGGACCCAAACTATAGTAATTCATGAACCCATATGAAAATCTAGTAAGTGAATTAAATCTTAAATTATTCAATTTTCAAACACAGCCTGGTGTGAAATTTTCTTACCGAAAACCACACAATGTTGTATTATTTTCTGGGAAGTTTTTCTCGCTCATGAATATTGTGAATAAGAATAATTCCATATTTCCATAAATAATTTGATCACTAGTGGTATCACAAGTGAAAATGAACAAGAATAAAGGAATAAAATTAGAATTATAATAATGACTCTTGATTTTTACCTTTCTTTGCACGTACTTATTCGATAAATTTCAGTGAAGAAGTATATAAATATCTGTTCCAACATATTTTGTGCACAGCTTCAATCTTCAGGATGAATCTCATCTATTCCTCTTTATGACACACCATGAGTTGAATTAGTTTTCGTTTCAAATACATGGGTATAGAAGATATCGATGAACCTATGCCTAACAAATAACCAATAATGACTGTAATTTTCGACTTACTTGTTTTTGCCTTCCTTGCTTTTATCAACACTATACATTTTTCTTTCACCCATTATTTTAATTGGCAGCTGCTATCACTCCATAACCCACCATAAATTAAAACTTATCACACCAACACCAAGTCCAATTAGAAGTCCTTTCTGTTTATGAATAAACTCAGATACTACTAATTTCAAGTTCGTTGCGACTGAAAGAAGAGATGTCACTTAAGGTTCAGTTGGATTTAAGTCGATGGCCAATTAGTATCAATAGAAAGTTTGCGTACAAAACTGATTTAAATTGAGGGAAGGCGTCAGTCGTGCACTTGATGATGTTCGAAATTAATTTCAATGTCGAATTAATCGTATTTGATCTGTGTTCGATTACTGAAAGCAGACAATTGTTTGGCGTATATTTATACACTGAAACAATAATTGTAATTCCCAAGTGATGCGGTTTTCCTATCTGGCAGCATCTAGCCACCTATAAGGCTCGGTAACTAATTGAATAAATAGTAATAAATAGTTTGGAAAACTATAGAAACACTTGTTGTTATTTTCTATTTATTTTTAGTTTGGCTATCTATGAAAGCGTGATTCTTCAGTTTTTGAAAGTACTATTTATTTTTCGTGGAAAAAATCACATTTTACGTTATCCGCAGATACTAACTTTTCGTTCGCAAACACTTTTCGTCCGCTGCAAGGTTGCCAGTTCGACTGAATTTTCAGTAGTTCTGATGATTGGCATTTTTTTAATGTTCTGGTTTCCACGAAAAGGGATATCCTGTAATGTTCAGAGAACATCGTGAGAACCAAGGGAAATGAGGTAGGAATTGGTGTTCTTCTTAAATTCCTGGAGGTTATATGCCTCGGGAAACACCTCCCTTGGCAATGTGTTCCAAAGCCTCGCTGTTCGTTGGATGAACGAGTCTTTGGAAAGAGATGTTTTGCAGGTCTCCAAAGTGACCACGAAGGGGTGCGAAGCCTCAACTCGACGGGTTAATCTCGCGGGGACTGCCAAGGGAGGGACAATTGTTGATATTTCAGAAGAGCATCGCCCTTGAAAATATCTATAAAATAGAGTCAGATTGCCAACTTTTCTACGGTGTCCTAGAGAAGTGAGTGAGTTAGTGAGCGAGGCATCACCCACGAGACGAATGACCCTTTTTTGGACAGAATCCAACAGTTTCAGGCTATGTTTGGGTGCTGCACTCCAAATATGGGAACAGTATTCTAAGACAGGTCGGATCTGTGCCTTATAGAACATAAGTAGCTGACTGGAAGTGAAATAGCTCCTGGCCCGAAATAGAAAATCAAGTTTTTGTGATGCACTTTTAGCAATTCATCTCACGTGATTTTTCCAAGAAACATTTCAACACCCACTGAAAAATATTTTGACACTTGTTTATTATTATAATCACCTATATTATTGTTATTCTTCAGTTAATCACATACACTTATAGATTGCCTGATACTTTGGTACGCTCTATTTATATTAATCATACAAAATAGTAAATAAATTTACATATATAGGTACTAATGATATGCAAACCAAAAAGGACAATACTCTGTTCAATGTTTGACGTGGCAAATAGCCAGGAAAGTAGTTGTTTGCTATATATACCGAAGAAGAAATAATATTTCCATCACATAGAGAATGCGAGGTCTCAATGAATTTCTTATAAATATTTTTTCATGTTCATAATATATCTGATAATATTCCTTCTGATGTATATCAAACTTATTTCAAAATGTTCAACCTCGAATATTTTGGACAAGGCTGAACCTAATATCAACAACTTATATATATCTTCAATTTCTTCGAAAATATATAGGGTGTTCCATTGGAAATAACGAAGTTGGTACCCATTTCTCATATCAGCGATATTCATTTATTTCATCTCTGAAGAAGCGGTTTAAGAATACGAAATGTCCCTGTACATTTTATCGGAACATTATTCGTTCAAGTAACTCGCGTATGTAGTATTATTTTCATTGACACGTTCTTTGCATAAGAATAATCATCTGGTAATTCACAATGACGAGTGTTGTTTTCCCCTGTCCAACCCAAGTGTTGGATATACAGGATTAATCATAAGTACGTTAAAATATTCAAGTGGCGTATGTCTGAGACAATTTCAAGAAAAAAAAGTTTACGTAAACTTGTGTCCGGAAATTCTTTATTTCAGAGATACAGGGTGTTGAAATTCAGAAAACAGATCATTTTCCGATGAACATTCCATAGCAAAAAAGTTGTTTTTATAAGTTCAACAAAACTGGCAAAAACTCAGAATTCGTTTATGGGTGATTCGAATAATCAATGTTCAGTAGATAGATTGATATATTTTATTTTTGGCCAGATTGTAAGTTATAAAAATCATAATATAGTCCTTTCATTTGTAGTAGTTCTTGATGGTTTCCCATTTCAGCAACTACTCCTTTCTCTAAAACACAGATCATATCGGCGTCTTGGATAGTGGTCAACCTATGGGCAATGGTTATGCAGGTCCTTCCTCTTCTTGCAACATCTAACGCTCCTTGTAGAATCTAAAAATATCAAATTCACTTCTATCATATTAGAATATACAGGGTGTCAGTATTTTGTAGCAGGACTTAAATTTCTGGAGGTTATATGCCTCGGGGAACACCTCCCTTGGCAATGTGTTCCAGACCCTCGCTGTTGGTTGGATGAACGAGTCTTTGGAAAGGGATGTTCAACAAGTCCCCAAAGTGACCACGAAGAGGTGCGAAGCCTCAACTCGACGGGTTGATCTCGCGGGGACTGCCAAGGGTGGAACAATAATTGTTGATATTCCAGAAGAGCATCGAAAGAGCTGAGAGAAGACATTTTCATGGGATGGAAATATTTTATGAACATATTTGCGTGGAAACTTCGTTTTCGACATACAAGGTTTCAAAGTTTAAGATTTTTTTGTTTCTTTCCAATTTCCCACTACCATTTTCAAAATAGTGAATTGAATTTTGGTACACCTATCAAACTTTGCGAACGCAATCATAATCGGCCATTTCCACGGTTTCTTCTGTATTACAGCGATATTTTTTTGTTTAATAGTAGGTATATTACGTAATATGTTGTTGTAAGAAGTATATTACGCACGAATGGAAAAGTAAATGCTTTACAACACGCATATAGTACATCAAAAAAGTTTGGACAAACAGTCTGGATTATAATTATTCTTGACAGTTATGTCATCCACTGTTGACGGCGATTACGCGAACATGAAATACCTATACTGACTGAATAAACGAAGACTAGCTACTTACTGAGGCTGTATCTCGTGTGTTCTTACCTACTTCATATAGAGGCCGTAGGTGAAAAATTTCATCGGACTTGCTCTACCAATACAAAAGCCGAATTGATCCACACGTGACCAGCCTTCCTCGTGTTTCAGCGATAAAATTTTTGACGTTTGAAACGTCAATTATGTTGGAGGCCGGAATGATGGAATACTCATACGACTACGACTCGTGATACTATTTTTCTGGAAATATTCTTCGATTGACATACTCCAGCTTGCTGCTATGATTTCGCTCATGAAATTGTTCCAGAACTTCTCACCTACGGCTAAAAAGTTTTGATAAACAATGTCGAGTTGAGGCTTCGCACCCCTTCGTGGTCACTTTGGAGACCTGCAGACATCTCTTTCCAAAGACTCATTCATCCAACGAACAGCGAAGCTCTGGAATACATTTCCGAGGGAGGTGTTCCCCGAGGCATATAACACCAATACCTTCCTTATTTCCCTTGGTTTTCACGATGTTCTCTGAACATTACAGGATATCCCTTTTTGTGGGAGCCAGAACATAGAAAAAAAAATCTTACTTTTTCACTCTCGTTGTCCAATGCCGAAGTCGCTTCATCCAGTAACAAAATTTTAGGATCTCTCATCAAAGCCCTGGCTATTGCTATCCTTTGTTTTTGACCGCCAGAGAGTTGGGTACCTTTGGCACCAACTTTGGTTTGATATCCCTGGAAATCGTGTTTGGAGAGTAGATAATATAAAACTTATAGTATGAGTATGCGATGTTATTTCGAAGTGATGAGGTGCTGTGAGAAAAATCTATGATATGCAGAGTGTTTCCAAAATAAGAGTAATAAATGTGTTTAGTGAATAAAACCGTTGACAAAGGATCAAAACCAAATGTACAGTGTGTTCAGTATTCGATGCTTTTTGCGTGATATCTCAGTTATCTTTGGAGATAGAACCTTGCGGTTTTTGCGGTCCTGTGCCACTTTCTGTGAAACTCAAGATGGCCTAATCAGATTTTGCATAACTCTTTTCGTTTATGAGATACAGGGCGATTTTGAAAATTCATACATTTTGAACCCCCACTTGATCTACAAATCTAAATCTTATCCCATAGAGAATTTTACGTAGAATCCAGTGGCCTGCTCAGTTTTTTACTTTTTCGGGGTACGGTTTTGCAGATACGACTCAAATTTATGATTTTTTAAATGGAACTCCCTGTGTTTTATAAGCTCATTAAATTCTTCATTCTTTTCCCTTCAAAATGATTCATGATATATATACGCCCCCCCTCTGTATCTCAGCTATCAGTCGTGCGATCTTTACCAAATTTGTATCGTTATGAATAATCGTTATTATGACCAGTTCTTCAGAGACAAACATCATTTAAGACAGTGCCGTGCATTTTTATTGAAATGAATAGGGGTCAGTCTTTTATTGAATCATATTAGGCATATTTTCACAGGAAAACTGACCTCATAATATTGTTCTTTATGGTTTCAAAGCCACATAATATGTGGATTTTCATGAGATGCCTATGAAGGGTTTCAGAAAAACAGGCACATCTGAACAGCATTTTCGCGAACGTAATAATTATTTACTCGGAAACGGTGAGTTCAACATGAAAAAGTTCACCTCGTTTTTCCTTCCAAATCATGATTTTTCATCTACTGGAGCCATTGAACGTTCCAAAATTCGTAGTTGATTTGAAGTCACTATTTATTTGAGACTGAAAATTAGAAAAATTAAGCCAATCCTGTTGATTCGGAATCAGGTGATTTTTTTGCATATGGAGGTTCGAAAGCATGAGGAACAATAATATGAGGTTAGATTTCCTGTAAAAAAATGCCGAATATGATTTTATGAAAAATCGACTCCTTTTAAGTTCAATAAAAACGCACGGCACTGTCCAAAATAATGTGCATCTCTGTATAACTGATCATATCGATGGTTATTCATACCACACCAAATTTGGTTGGAATTGCATGACTAATTAATGAGATATATAGGGGGGGGCGTTTAAAGTGAGACACGCTGTATAGATATCGAATTTCCAAAAATGTTCGAAAATCACAAAAACATTGAATTTTTAATGGATTTTTCATATAAAAATATTGCCGATTTCTATCGATTTTTCCATGAAGAGAACAAAACAATAACAACACTAATTAATAGTGATAAAAAATTACTCATATTGTAGAATAAGCACCTGATTGAATATATACTATGACAATTGAATTCCGAAATTATTCAGTAACTTATTCATTGAAATGATCAAATTGAACTTCCTGCAACAACAGACGCAGTTTTCCAGAAATTACAAAGACATCCTTCAATGACTTTGGATGCATAAGACGTATTAATTGCGAAAGTGTGAGAGGGAAAATGGATATCAATTTGAACAATTCAATGAATAAGTTACTGAATAATTTCGAAATTCAATTGTTTAGTGAATATTTAAACAGGTGCTTATTCTAAATTATTAACTTCTTATTGCTATTTATTTGTTGTCATTAGGTAACTATAAGTTTTGAGTTTTGTTAGTTAATAAGTGTTGATATTGTTTTTGTCCTCTTCATGAAAACATCAAAAGAAATATTCGGTCAGTTGAAACTTTTTTATATGAAAAATCCATCCAAATCCGTTTAAACTTTTATGGTTTAGTGATTTTGGAGCATTATTGGAATTTTTATATTTATACATGATATATCATTTTGAAGGGAAAAAATAAGAAATTTAATGAGCTGATGAAATACAGGGTGTTCCTTCAAAAAATCATAAGTTTGGGTCGTATCTCGAAACCCATACCACAAAAAAAAATTTAGTGCGCCACTGGATTCGGCGTGAAATTCTCTATGGGTTCATATTCAAATTTGACATAGAGGGGGTCCAAGAAGTATAAATTTTCAAAATCGCCCTGGATATCAAAAACCAAAACAGTTGTGCAATATCTGATTAGGCCTTCTTGACTTTCACAAAAAAGCGGCACAGAACCGCGAAAACCGCAAGGTTCTAACTCCAAAGATAACTGAGATATCACGCAAAAGCATCGAAAACTGGACACACTGTACAAGTACATTTCTGTCGATGAAAATATTGGAGATATTGAATTTTGAGAAAGGAGAACCAGTAGTCCAGTTGGACACATCCATTGTGTATTTATGTTATATTTTGTGCCTTTGTCGATTGACTACAATATATTCTTCCGGATCTATGCATATAACAACCCATTTCATTTATTGCTTCAATTTTAGAAAAAATACAATATGAAGAGTAATTCCACATGGATTGTATAGTCCTCAGGTGGTTTCGAATTCTTTTTATTCCTATACTACTAAATTTTTCAATGGTAGTACGCCTGTGGATTCTCATGATGAAAAAGTATTTTTTTATTTTTTCTTCTGTTCTTTTATTTGTTTAGAGATATTTCTCAATGAATCGAAATCTCATAACTACAACAGCTTTAAAACTCTGTGCTTTATGAAAATGTCAATTCATGATAACAACATGTTTTTCTTGAGGAAACATATTGTTTTTCCAGTAAGTATTTGCCTGGAAAATAAGTCATTCATGCAGTTGCATCACTCTAATATGGGTAACCACATCTTACTAGCAATCATTTTCTAGGTAAATTCGTTAATTCATTGTATCAACTTTCAGATAACACTTTGAATGCACTATTTATTTATTGTTTATTGTTTTGTCAACGACTCTGAATCATTCAATCATTGAAGTTCAGATAGTGCATTCTTTATTCCAGAAATAAACGCACAAACTAGTCTTGATAATATTATTTGTCATATAAATAGTTTTTGAAATATCCTATCGAATGACTATGCATGAAATATCGACACATGGATTATAGAGAAAATGTCACAAAAGATAAGATTTTTTATAATCTTGAAATGTAATTTGACACTCTCTTCAAAGCTGGCAGAAGTTTCGAAATGTCCTACTTCATGGGTTAAAATGCACTTAAAATCAACAAGAAGTGGTTCATTTGGAATTTTTTCATATGCAATAGTTTGGTTTCTCGCATTTTTTTTCACATTCGATCTTTATTTGACATCTCGTATTTCTGATATCTTCAAGACTTGTTTCGATAATTGAATGGCCATCAGCTGGTGTCCTGGTGTGATTGTTTACCTCACTAAAATATGAAAAAAATTCAAATAAACCATACTTTTTGTTGATTTTAGGAAATAAAATGTGTTATTGAAGTACAAAGTGACCACTGATTGAAAAAGAAGGACGAGTTAGTTGTCAATGAATATCCAAGATGGGTGGCAAAAGAAGGGGAAATTTCGATTTTTGTTCGTAAAATATCTCGATAAATAGCGGTTTCTTCACATTTTCATTGTGAAATTCGTGTTTTTCAGACGAAAATGAGTCAGGACCAGAAAAAAATTTCGAAAAAAACCCATCGCATGATAAGGGTCCTTTTACTGTATTTACCATAGGAAGGGTAGAAATGAAAGCATGTATATTCGCAGATTTGGCAGCATCCATAACACGATCCATCTCAGTACCATCATTGTCATAAGCTCCGTAAGAAATGTTCTCTGCAATCGTTCTATCGAACAAGGTGGGTTCCTGGGAAACAATTCCCAACTGCGACCGCAACCATTTCAAGTCCATTTTCCTCGTATCCTCACCATCCACTATTACCTCTCCCCCTATGGGATCATAGAACCTTTCTAGCAGTTGAATAATGGTGGATTTACCGCAGCCACTGGAACCAACTAGAGCGACTGTTCTTCCTTTCATCACATTCAGATTTAGCCCATTCAGAACAGAGACAGATGGTCTGGTAGGGTAGGAGAAGAATATGTCTGAGTATTCAACATTTGCTTCATTCTGAAAATGAACAGTCATAGATGATGATTACCATAGTACGAATTATCCTTTTCTGTGTTGTCAAGATTCTTTCACTGTTCAGTTTTTCACTGAGCATGTCTACATGATCGGTGAAACGTAAGTTTTTATCCACATGTATACACAAAAATTTAGTACTTTTAGTGGACTCGATACTTGTTCCATCAAAAACAAATTGTAGGATATTCAAGTTATTTTGAAGAGTGAAATATATACATTCAGTCTTGGAATCATACGAAATCAGGCAATTTCTTGCACACCAATCATTAAAATATTTCTAGTGACCGACCACTAATCAAGTATCGTTAGCGAATAGAGCTAAAAGTTCAGTTTTCATATGTAGAGGCATGTCATTGACAAACAATAAAAATATCTACAATATTCTTTTTAACGCGTCGTTCTTGTGATGTTCAATATCGGTTTTGGATAAAAAATTCGAAACGGTTTGTGATAATTCAACAGAATTTCCCTCAGATACTAAACTTTTCAGGCTCTGTAAGATGAAACAGAGTGATTATAGCACTCTTGTTTTAATTACAATCAAATATTATTATTGAACTGAAAATTTTGAACTACAAATTGAGAAAGAAATGCACTTATAAAAATTAGGTCGATTCTTTTCTTCACCACCGCCAGATTCATCCGCCACTGAAATACTTTTTAAAGTTAGTATCATTTTGTTAAGAATTTTGTTGGTTTATTTAACCGTTTCGTACTTTTCATTGAAAAACAATATTCAGACTCGTATATTTTCAACAATCCATATCTCGAAAATGACGCGTTTATAAGTATATGTTTTTATGAACTTTTCTCATTATTTCAACGAGTACAACACAATGTTGAATTTTTTGAATTACAAACTGGACCACCCTGTATATGTATAGTCAAATGCAATGGAAGTGACAAAATTTGGCGGTGATATCACCTTTTATCACTTCTGCTATAATAGCTCTCACATCATCCAACCGCGTCATGTTCTTTGCATCTGACTGTACATACTTTACATGATTTCATAGTTTCAATATTAGTTATAGCTCATCACATGCTTTGTCAACGAAAACTTTGGGTTTATAGCAGTGGCGGCTCTTCAGAGGAGGCAACGGAGGTTGAGCCTTCTCAGAGATTTTCCTTAAACTAATATTATTTATACTTTCTCATTAAAAGGACACCAAAATACATGGATTTTGATTTTATTTCCTGTTTTTAGTTGAATATCTTTGAATTGGCAACAGTGCTTGCCCACGCATCACACGTTGAATTCTGCAAATCACGCGTGAAATATTCAACTCGGCAACATCTATAAGAGGCTAGACTCCTTCACATCGTGCAAACCTACGCGCGCAATGCAAATGCCCGAATACGCCCGAATAGCACGTGTTGGTCGTGTCGCTCCGCGAATTGCGGACAAAGAAGAGTGCATTGTTTATGTTCATGTTAGGTTTATGTTGAGGGGCTCTATGAATTTCTGAAAAATGATAGTTTTAAACGATTGCGATTTAGTGGAATACTTTTTGGTGAACCCATTCAGTGCTTTGTCTTATGAAGATAAATTGATTGTGAAAAACAAACGTCCGACACCGGAATTAAAAAATCTGATTGTAACAGGTAACAAACAAAATCGTTCTTTCAATTCTGATAATTATAAAAAATATATCTGGTTGACGGGATCTGAGGTAAGGATTAAGCTATTTTGTTGGTACTGCGTATTATTTTCAACCGATAAGTCGTCATGTTGGGGGCGATTAGGATATAATGATTTGAAAAATTTGCCTCGCGGATTGGATAGACACTGCAAATCACAGGAACACATCTCTTCAAGTATTAAGTTCAGGTTAACTGGTAAACAGAATGTCATTAAAGCTATCGATTTGGGTGAGTAGAGAGTTGTTTTTCACAATGAATCTGATATCATTCAGCCTCCTCTGTCATGAAAGTAACGAGCCGCCACTGGTTTTTAGTGCGATAAAAACTTTCTTCTTGTTCATTGTTCACTATGGCAACTGATAACTCACCCATGGATGTTTCAGTGCGTTCACCATATTACTAACTAAAGGTTTCCTTTCTAGAAGGGATATTATTCTTGCAGCAGCATTCAGGCCATGCTGGAAGTTTGGAGGTATCGCCAAGGCATTACCAATGGCCCAAGAGCCAATAGACATGATCTCACATACCCTGAAACGATACACAAGCACTGAACGATTTGCCATTGGATAGTGAAAATGTACGCTACTTGAAAATCGTTCCATATTCTACGGCTCCATCAATGATGAGTTTTCCTCCATAGGTCATACCGACTAGGTAAGAAGCAATCATTAGGGCTCTGGCCATTCCGAGAATGAGGCCTCTTATATGCGATTTTCTGTTAGCTATAGCTCTGTAAGGAAGCAGTTCTTTCTCGAATAGATCTAGGAATACCTGTTCGCATCCTAGAGATACGACTGTTCTTATATTCCCAATCGCTTCTATAGCTAACTGAAAGGAAGAAGACCTAATGGTATATTGACATAAGCTCAGACCTGATTCATCTAGGGTGAGCCAAAAATGTGTACCGAGCTTTCTGGAGGTGATGGTACATTGAAATGAGTATAGTTTGTTGAATGAACTGATGAACTGATGGCCCAAAATGTATATCTAGAGAGATAAATATCCTTCCAAAGTTGATGAAATTGAAATAATTTTCCCGCATAACATCTAAACGATGAAATTTTCTGCATAACTGTAACATTTTTCTGAGACACTTCTACATGTCTGATATTGTTATAAAGGGTGCTTTTATAGGGTGGGTCATGATTTTTTGAATACAACATTTTTCCTCGAATTCTTTTTGGTGACAAATAGGAGCATTTGTTTGTTTCCATGTATTATCATTTCCAGAAAACTCGGTTTACATTTTTGACTCACCCTGTAACATCCTTATTGAAAACTGGGGGCCCAAATGCTATTGCTGCCTGCTGTCCTCAGATGAAGCTAATACAGGGTGAGTCATGAGGAACTGTACATATACTCCTAACACGAATATATAGAAAGTATCTTCTTCACTTCTTTTCCAATATAGGTATTAGATGAATTATGAGATTTGGCAGAAGCATCTTCTGGTCATAACATTCCAACAGTTTCTTCGAATAGTCTGATTTTTTCATGGAATATTTTCCGCTACTACTCTCTAATCGACTGACTTATTCAGAATCGGGAAGATCCAGGACCGTTCTTGAAAAATTTTGATAGTTTAGTTTATAGCAGAAAGTTCATCTGGTATATCGTTTTTGTAAACTGTGACAGGGAATTCTCAAAGGTCACAAACAAACATCAGAAATTAAATATTTCAAATTTTCCTCATACTTTCACTTCAAAAGGAACATTCTCAGATATATGTATGAACACAAAAAAATGGATATATATATAAAGAAATACATTGAGAATTCGCATTCTCCATGTGATGAAAATATCAATTCTTTCAACAGAAAACATCTACTTTCCTGGCTATATGCCACGACGAATATTGAATTACATCTATTGAACACACACGATGAGAATTCGAAAACAAAATCTTCTGAAGTAGAGAATTTGCATTCTCCTTCATATAAAGATATGCATATAATATAATTCTGAATATTCAACAGGAAAAAACTACTTTCCTGGCTATTTGCCACGTCGAACATTGAATTATATCTGTTGAATATCCAAAAATAGAGCATGAAAGATCAAAATCCTGAATGATATAAAAATATAACTTACCGATATGTTCAGAATTTCTTTCCACGTCCTGTATGATGAATGTCAATTCATCATACATTCAAAAAACTTCCACTTCAGTTTGAAAAAAACTATGAATATTCTGGAAAAAACGAAAATTTGGCAAAACATTTATTTATTCGGAAATTAATAGTCCGCAACCCATAAATTTTACGAAAATAAAAGTGAGACTTACATTCTCAATCCTTCGATGGAAATCAATATATTATTTTATCTTCAGGCCTGGATGAAGTAATTCATTTTTTCGTAGGGGATGATGATTACCCTGTAGATCTTTTTCGAATCAGTGGATGCGGTATCTGTGAAAATGTTGATGATCATTGCTATGGTAATCTTATGATTTCAATTCACTGTATTGTCAGTATGGCTTTTGAAAAATAATTGTGAATAAACCATTATTTTCTGTTCGGCTATTTTGAATTATTCGAATCGATGACCATTAACAGCTGAACAGATACCACTGATTCGAAAAAGATCTACAGGGTGATTATCACCCCACAGAAAAAATGAAATGACGAAATCCAGGCCTGGAAATGCAAGAAAATGTTGATTTCCATTGGGCTAAAGCATTGAAAATGTTAGTCTTTCTTTTATTTGTGAAATTTATGCGATGCAAAGTAATTATTTTCGAATGAATAAATTTGTTATCAAACTTTCGTTTTTGCTTGAAATTTATCGTTTTTTGAAAAATTCTGTGAAAGATTGAGGAGAATTTTGAATATTTTATTCTTGATGCTTGTTTCTGTGCTTTTAAAATTCACTATCACAGGTTACAAAACCATGTACAGGATGAACTATCGATATTGTTCAAAAACGGTCCTGGATTTTTCCGATTCTGGAAATGTCAGTCGATTAGGGTTCAGTAGAGAAATATTCCAAGAAAAAATTAGACGATTCGAAAGAGCTGTTGAACAGTTATGCCCAAAAGATGTTTTTGCCAAATCTCATAATTTACCCTATATACTGCTAAAGAAGAGAAGAAAGCACTTTCTGATGGTCATTAGACATTCCCCCTATTCATGGTAGGAGTATGTCCAATTCCTCATGATTCACCCTGTATAAGAGTCACTCACCTTTGAAGATTTCTCCAGCATTACTTGGTTTTTAATAGCATCCTGTCTCAAAAATTTCTGTTCCAAATAAACGGAAATGAATATCAACGGAAAAATGATAGATAAAACTAAAGTTAGTTTCCATTCATAATAAAAACTGATGGCAAAAGTGACAATGAATGTCGCTGTTAAATTCAAGACTGTTCCGATATATATCCCAGCTGCCTATAACAAGATCGTTTCAATTGAAATGTTGAAAATGCACATCAGTGTTCAATCTTTACTCCTTGCATTTTGGTAGCATCATCTGCTAGTCTGGCACATATTGCTCCGACGCTGTTTTCTTTTTTATCGAACCACCCTATTTCTTGCCTCAATACAGCTCTGAAGGTGTCAATTCTCGTTCTAAGGGTAAGTTTTTCCCCAGCAATTCCAAACGTCAATAACTAAAAACAAACCAACTAAAAACCGGTCAGGTCATCAATAGATAATCAGACACTTTTCACCAATACATCAATACACTGCAATCATACATAAAATTCACAATGGAAATGGAAACAGAAAAGTCAATCAATTCCTTAGATTTGACAATATGACCTACTCACACTGATATTACTATTCATAATAATTCAACACATCCTTATCAACATGAAATTGGAGCATATAGTATGTCACACGAGCTAGTGAATGTCCCTCTTCCAAAAGTAAATTTCAATGTCATAACGCAGATTGTAGTCGACAATGGAACGTTAATTTGAATTGACTCAGCCGGTACTTGATGGAAATCAATGGCGAATGTAAAAACCCCACAAACGATAAGATTTCCACAAAATTCCTAAAAGAAGAAGAAGAAAACAAATTCAACACACGTCAACCATATATTAGAAGATAACCATAGTATTCATGATAATTTCGAAATTCTACACTCAATCATTTTGAATCATTAGAAATCAACAAACTCGAAAATGTTGACGTTTCAGTTCACCACTGTTGAATTCGTTTTAGGTAGTAGGTAATAATATTTATTTGCGATCAACCCTTTCAAGTTAATCCGGTAGACCGTATTTTAGTGTAGATATTGTGTCTAATTTCCGAAAATGAAGGTTTATCGAACCACAGGTAACTAATCCTTCAAGTTGGGAAAGTAGGATAACGTTGGTTTAGTTCATTGTACCAGTATATCACCTGACGAAGCTACTGTGTTCACAATTTTGTGGAAATCTTATCGTTTGTTTACAACGTTTTTACAACGTTAATTTGATTGACAGTATTATTTCTAAAAAACTCCATAATGAAGTTTATCTCACTATCATAATCAAAATCGTAGAACTTTAACCTATTTCGGATCATCAACTTTCAAGCTAATCATACATCATATTTCAATGTAGATAGTGTGCCTTCTTTCCGAAAATGAAAGTTTATCGTACCTTTCCATAGATGATTGTATCCATCGCCGGTTGGGACTTAAAAGTTTGGCAAGCCAATGTCAGTTCAGTTTATTGTACCAGTATTTTACCTGAAGAAGCTTCTGTGTTAGCGAAACATTTCGTGTGATTAAGGATTTTGTGAAAATCTATCGTTTGTGGAGTCTTTTGCATTTACTATGTATTTCCATCAAGTGAGTCAATTCAAGAAAGAAAAAACAAGACGAAAAGGCCTTGTATAATTTACCTGAAGAAACGTTGAACCACCTATAACGAATGCAAGGCAGAGAAAGTACAAACAGAAAGTGTTATTCTCAGAGATCATTTCATCGCCTTCTTCAAGAAAGAGAATCTACAAAACAAGTAAATCGTGACGTCAAGGGACTACTCTTTGTATGTAATGGTTCCTTACTCCGATAATTGCTCCAAATATCCATCCATTGATTGGATATGCACCGCCTTTGATCACTGAAGATATACATCCTATAGCAATGAGATACCATTCGGGCTTGCACATTTTGATCACTTTCGTAAAAACTCCGTTCATCTGTACGTCTTCCTATCGAAAAGAAATTTCAATTCACTATATCATTGTGTAGTAGGTACAAGTCCAACTCAATCTCACATTTGATTTTTCATCGATGTTTTCATCATCTACTTTTTCTGTTATGAACTGATGCATTGACGAACTGACATGTCTCATAATTTTCTGTATTTCTAGAAACATATATTGATGCATATTTTCGAAACTATACAGTATCAAAGTAGGCACTTACCGCTATAAGGTTTGGTATCTGTTAAACCTTGAGAGTTTACTAATTTCAGGTATAACCCTCCCTTTGCCATCAGCTCTTCATGGCTTCCTATCTCACTCACTTTACCTTCAGAAATGAGCACAATCTTTTTCGCTTTTCTGATAGTTGATAATCGATGGGCAACTATGATTGTTGTACATTCCCTACTGATCTTGAAAAAAAATATAACTTTGAAGGCACTATTTCAAAAGTGATCCAATAGACTTTTGGGCTATCCCCAGTACTTCTAGCTCAAGTTCCATCCGCAAATGAATAGGAAAAGCTCACTTTCGTTTTAGTGGGGATGACCAAGGTGACCTGATTTGTAAAGTATCATACCGAATCTAGAGCAGCTTGTACTTCTGCTTCACTTGAAGTATCCAAGGCCGAGGTGGCTTCATCCAGAAGCAGTATTTGTGGTTTCCTGACTAGGGCTCTGGCTATGGCAAGCTTTTGTTTCTGGCCTCCCGATAGTTGTCCTCCCATTTTCCCAATAACAGTGTCGTAACCATTTGGTAGGGTTAGGATGAAATCGTGTATCTTCGCTTTCTTAGCTGCAATTTCTATCTCTTCCTGCAATGCTCCCTCCTTGCCAAACCTGATGTTTTCTGCTATGGTAGTGGTGAATAGGGCAGGCTCTTGACTGACGACTGCTATTTTTTCTCTCAGCCATCTGAGGTTCATGTCTTTGATGTCTATATCATCGATTGTTATCTATAGAGGAAAAGGCAGAAGCCAGAGTATAGAGAGAATAGCTCCAGTAATGTTATTGGGATTTATCAAAGTTGGTATTGGGAAATTGTACTCACCCTACCCATATTAGGATCATAAAATCTTTGTAGTAACTGAACACATGTCGATTTGCCACATCCTGAATTGCCTACCAAGGCTACAGTTTCCCCAATATTTATCTGGAGATCAAATGCCCATAATACCTAGAAGAAAATAGTGTCTAAATTAGACAGTCTACTCAAACTATTTTGACTTCTTTTGGAAAATAATCCAGTTCGCAAAAAGATTACCTTCACATCTGATCGTGTTGGATAACTAAAATACACCTCATCAAACTTGATACAATTTTGGAATTTATACAGCTTCCTTCCTTTATCTTTGATCTTGTTGATTTTCGGTTTACTGTCCAGGATGTAGAATACCTTTTGAGCGGCTGCACGAGCTGTGGCTAATATCTCCAGAAGAGGTGCTGCTAATCCAAAATACCACATAGCCCCAAGTGTAGCGAAAAATATCTAGAAATCTTAGACTGAAACAAATAAATATCCAGATGGGATAATGAAATTCTTACGGTGACCAGAGAACTAGGTGTATAAGTTCTTTCTTTGCTTGGCAAATCTCTGTCGTTGACGATTAAATGGACACCATACCAGTAAGTCAGTGAGTAACAAGCGAAAATACAGAACCACAAGCAGAAATTATTGATGGAAATGAAGATGCATCTTTTTATGTTGTTGCACTTGGCTTCGATCAGGTGGTTTTCGTAAAGTTTTGTTTCTTTCCATTGGCCATCGAAGGCCACCACTGTTTTTATCGAGCTGATTACTTCTTCGGCTACGGCACCAGCTTCTCCATAGGCTTCCATTTCTTCTTTCGAATATTTGGCAGCAATCTGGAATCGTACACAAAATGGTCGATGCTAGGTAAACGGAAGCCGATTCGTTTTCAAAACGCCGGAAGATAAGAAACATTTCATATTGTTCTTCAAAAATTTTCCAAACAATGTGTCACTGACTATCGACCGAATTTTTTTTCCAACTCTTCTGATGATAGAAACATTTTAAACACAGTGACTCAAATAATCTCAATAAAATGTGTCTCCATGTCTGAGGTACTATTCAACGTAGCTATTATTGTCATATTTCAAAACTTCAAAACCTGATTCGCCCTGTATAGTTGATATATTTCCTATTATATTAATGGAACAGCAATTATCTAGTAATTGAAATGATGTTACTAGAAATTTTCGATGGTAATCAAGGATCACTATCGACTTTTCGTTTCGATGCGAATATTCGAACCATTGTCTGCTAATTATGGAGAAAAAATCTAGTGAGCTGGCAGACCAGATACTCCAGCTCACTAGTGCTGAAAGTGATTTACTTTTAACACCAGTGTCATAAGCTGACATTTTAGACACTGACAGTCTGCGTCAAAAATTATACTTTTACTGGCGTTTGTAGAAAAAATTGTTTATGAACCATTTTTATGTCTATCATTACCTGATAGTCTATTGTGAATGACCCTGTATATGACTCACCTTAGTTATAATCATCATTATTATAGTTGATATTGGTAAGGAGACCATAGCTACTACGGCTAATTTCCAACCTTCATACAGGGCCACAATTATTCCTGTTAGGAAAACTGTGACAGAAAATAGGAATAGTCCAATTTTTTCTCCAATACCATCTTCTATCTTGGAAATATTTCTGTAAAATCCATACTAGAAGTTGATTCTAACAGAAGCAAAAATAACTCACTGCGTGAAAAGAGTGGCAAAATCTCCTGTACGATTCTTGTCAAACCATTCTATGTCTTGATTAAACATTTTCTCTAGGAATGAAATCCTCATTTTGTAAATCTAGAACGTTCATATAAATAATTATTTTCATCTTGTATATACTCAATAATGTCTACGACATACAAATTTGAATAATCTGGGATCGTTTAATAAAAAAGGCATATTATATAAAGAAATTGAGGTCGAAATTATCCCAGTCTCCTCAACATGTCCAATAGGTAGGCACGTTCTACTTTACTTTGGCTATCTATGAAATCGTAATTTATTACATTATTAGTTTTTCGAAAGACTATTTATTACAGAGTCCGTTCGACATATAGATTCCGCCATCTTGAATTTTCTAATTATATGATGGAGGAATCATAATCTCCGACCCCGAAAACCCTCACATACCAATTTTAAATAGAAGCGGATCATAATTGATAAACTGGCATGCCGTATTGAAACTGTCATCTTGAATTTCCAAAATGTAACGATAGAATCATAATCATCGTCCCCAAAATCCCACCGATATCGATTTTGAGTGGAATGGGAACATGATTACAAAACTCGACCGCCATATTGTATCTGTCATCACAATTTCTTTAATTTTGACATCAGGTACCGATTTTGAATAGAATGGGATTATAATTATAAAACTCGTCCGCCTTATTGGATCCGCCATCTCGAATTTTACAATTTGGATGAAAGAATCATGATCTCCGACCCACAAAATCCTTAGATAGCAATATCGAATAGAATCGGATCATAATTACAAAACTAGTCCGCCATATTGGATCCGTCATCTTGAATTTTCAAATTTTGAGGAAAGAATCATAATCTCCGACACCAATAACCACCAAATAACAATTTTGAATAGAATCGGAACATTACAAGACTCGTCCGCCTTATTGGATCCGCCATCTCGAATTTGCCAATTTTGACAAAAGAATCATAATCTCCGACCCCAAAAAATCCCAGAATCCCATTTTGAATAGAGTCGGATTATAATTACAGAACTCGTCTGCCATATTGGATCCGCCATCATAAATTTAATCTCATTTTTTTTCCTAAGAACCTTCTCCTGCCAATAACAAACACAAAAAAAAATAATTAGTGAAATCGGTCAAGCCGTTTACGATTCTATAAAGGACATACAGACAAAACATTCATTTATATACAGGGTGTTTCCTAACTACGGTTCCTAACTGCAGGTGGTGATTCGTTGGGTCATTTTAGGAAGAAAAGTTCTTATTAACATATGTCCGGAGTTGCTTCGGTTCTGAGATACAGGGCGTTGAAATTGAAGAAAAAAAACGGTAATTATAAAATATCATGAATATCCTAGAACCGATTTGGTTGAAATTTGGTACTTTCATTTAAACTAATAAGGCGCTTATTTAGCCCTATCTAGATTGAGATTATTGGGGCCACTGGCGTCTCAATGGGCACCACAGCCAACAATATTGTGAAAAAAAAGTACGCCACTGTCTTTTTTTGGTGAATTTTTATTTTGTTTAGATTGAGCAACTCAAAATACAACTTTTTGGTCTCTTGCATGTCCTTCATATCCAGCTTCGTTTTCGAGAAAAAAAAAATCAAAGCCATAGTATTGCATATCATGAACACCTGCATTGGAGAAATGAGTTTTTCATTATCTCCGCCAAAAATTTAATTGACACTTGATATGCTGAAATTTCAGAAAATTTGATAAATAAAAGTACCAAATTTCAACCAAATCGGTTCCAGGATATTCATGATATTTTATAATAATTATCGTTTGTTTTCTTTAATTTTAACGCCCTGTATCTCAGAAACGAAGCAACTCTGGATATATGTTCATAAAAACTTTTCTTCTTAAAATGACCTAACCAATCACTCCCTGCAGTTAGGAACCGTAGTTAGGAAACACCCTGTATATTAAATAGATTTTTTTATTCAATAGTTAGCAATTTTGGTAGTAGGTAAAATATTGTTGTTACATAAATATCCTATGCCCTTCTTCTTTCCAACTTTTGGAGATATAATGAATTCGAATAAAGAAATCTTGAATAGATCATAAACTGGATTCTGAAGATGCATTTTTTCAAGTAAAAATTCAATCACAGTTTTTTAAATTACCTGCCTAACTGCACTGAAGCTGTAGAGCACTACAGACAAATACAACATCGCTATAATCACCACCACTATTATAGCCGCCTGTACACCGAACATTCTGATATGGTGTTGCAACGTTTCGATCAATTGGTTCTTCTCGTCTTCAGTAGGAGCTTTGTGTATCGCTGCTGCATACTCGACTATGGCACCAGTTACGTCACCAAAATAAAGCATCGCTAAGGGAAATAAGATTCCGCAAAATATCGAACAAAAAGATGCCACAAGTATGCATATTTTGTCTAAGGTCGTAGCATATCTGAACTGTAAGGAAATGTCAGATTACATCAGAAACATGCTTGATGTATTCACATGCGACAACATAGATATTCGAATGTTATTTCTTCATTTTTCATGTTTTATTTTTACTCTACGGAGAAAATAATATGGGCCCTAAAGTTATAATAGGTAAGTGGTTCATTAGGGCAGAAAAAATTGGAAAATATATATTTATACACTTTCTTTAGCATCCACTAGACGACAAAAACATTACCTCACTGATCTGATTACATGTAAAAAACAGTACCAACTAATATAGAGTATCAAAGACGAGAGTGCCATATATCAATCTTATATTTATTATATATTCAATATATCAACAGAAATGGAACAGAAAATAATCATATTACTAATTATGCAGACGATTTTCATATGACAATAAAATTCCTTTCATTCTTGAAAATATAGTAGTAAACAACTGCCTGATAAGTTTCGAAAAATAGATTCATCCTAACTTTTTATCATGGAACTGAACAAAATTGATTGATCGATCTCAAAATCGAAAACAAATGATCTCTGAATTATTATATTGAAAAATCCTATTATTTTAACTCTGATTAAACTTCACTCACACATCAGAGGAATAAAGGGGCCACTTGCTTTTAAATCTTCTATAGTATACATCTGTTATTATTGTAATATTATTGTTGATAACTACTTTCTTACCCCAGAACTCATTTTAACTGAAGGTAATATTTTCAAAAAAAGAATAAAGATAAGTAAGTATATTTTGATATTGATTCAAAGTTACACACATCTCTATAACAAAAAGTGTTGGTTACTTACACACTTGAAATACAAATAGACAGATATCAATGGTCTTGCCAAAGAACGTGGTTGCCTATAAGACACTTGGCACATTTTTTTTAATAGAATTTCAGCATAGGTAGGGTGAGAAATCAATGAAAGCGTTCAATGAATTTTTAGAATACGATGAAAAGTTTGGATATTTTTGAAAGAATAAAGGTTAACCTCGAATGAAAAATAATAGATATATGTTGCAAGCAATTATAAATAAATAATGAGGGATTGAAAAAAATCGATAATAGTGATGAGACACAGCAAGAACTAATTATATCTATATTTTCAATGCATTGTTGCATGGTTTATGGTTTATCTATCTCCTCGGTTATTCTACATAGACAGTATTCGGATTTGATCAATTGGAAAAATCTTCGAAATACGTATATGTTTACTTACTTATTTTTCTTCATTCTGTGATATTTGTATGAGGATATTATTATATATATGATTGATTTGTCACCTGTTTTATTCTTATTATAAGTATTTATTAATACTAATTATCAAATTTTTCATTTTTCCATAATGTATTGTCACCGAAATTATGAACACCAGCCAAATTTCAAGTTTATTCGGGGTTATGGAATTTTTGTTGAAATTTAAAAAAATGGCGGCTCCAAGATGGCGGACAAGATTTGGTCCGATTCCATTCAAAATTGGTAAGTGGGGGTTTTTGAGGTCGGAGATTATGATTTTTTTGTTAAAATTTATAAATTCAAGATGGCGGCTTTCAAATAATTCTTTGTTTTTGTATAAATGACGATGACTCCGTTGTTATAAACACGAAACTATTACTGCGACATATCATCTGTAAGAGGAAAAAAAGTTATTTGTAACTAAGTCATAGTGAGCTATGACTTACATTTGAAAAATTGAAGTTGGTGCTGATATCTCAAATTCTAGAAGAGTTGGTATAAATTTCATATTTATTTCGAAATCACTTTGAAAAACTGCCATGAGGATGTGAAATTCCTATTTGAATATTTTCATAAATAAAGAAGTTACGGAAGAGACATGAAAATGATCAAAATCTGTTTTTGGCATATAAAACAAAAACGAATAGATTTTATCAAAATATTTTTTCACATTATAGTTGGCCTTGCCAAACTCCGTATCTCTCACCGTTAAAAAGATACCCATGGTGAGCATGGTAAGTGGGACACACTGTATATCTCGCTCCTTCTGTATTCTCTCCTTTCATTTAACACGCTTATATTAGCTTGGTATGTATGTTATTTGTATGGTTTGTATTTTTGTACCTTAAGGCGGAATCTACGAGCGTAATTTTGTCACAATTCAAAACTTCGAATTGATTAAAATTGAAACTTCGCACACTTTTTATCAAGATGCGTCGAAAATAGCATAGTTTGATCGTTTTGTTCCATTATCCTGATTAGGATTTTCAAAATGAATGTTTTTTCGCGAATATAATGGTGATTGCATGATGTTCCGCCACCAAAATTAAAAATGTTCCTTCACCAAATGTTCAAATATTCGTTTCTCCTTCGAATAACTTTACAAGGCTTTTTTATATCTAGAGACACGGCAGTGTCTTACACTTAGTACTCGTATGACTAGTTACATCCAGAGAGACACGTGATTTTCACTTCAAAACGTCGAAACAAATTAACACTTCGAACACTTATTAAGGACCGATGACAATATCTCAATTTGATAGCTTCGTTTCATTATTCTGATCCTAAAGATGAGCGATTTTTTTTCTCGAATAAAATGGTGAATGATGTTCGCCTCCACCAAAATTTAAAGAGTTCCTTCACCAGATGTTCAAATGTTTTTTTCCTTCGAATAACTTAACAATGCTTTATTATATCTATAGAGACACCGCAGTGTCTTGCACTTAGTACTCGTATGACTAGTTATACATCCAGAGAGACGGGTCATTTTGACTTCAAAACGTCGAACTAAATTGAAACTTCGAACCCTAATTAACGACCGATGACAATATCATAATTTGATGGTTTCTTCCCATTGTTCTGATCCTCGAAATGAGCGATTTTTTTCTTGAATAAAATATGGTGAATGTTTCGCCACCAAAATTTTAAAATGTTCCTTCACCAAATATTCAAATGTTCGTTTTTTCTTCGAATAACTTTACAAGGCTTTTTATATCTATAGAGACACGGCAGTGTTTTACACCAAGTACTCGTATGACTATTCACATCCAAATAAGAGATTTGTGATTTTCTGACCCACTTCAAAACGTCGAATTAAATTGAAACACTTGACAAGAAACACGGTAGTCTCTGCACCAAATACAGTCGAATGATAATATGAAATAGTTACAGTCAGAGAGACAGTAATGTCTTGCATCAAGTACTCGTATAAAATAAAGTTTCCGGAGAGGGACCCAGATAAAACGGTGAGAAAACCGAACAGGAAAGCATGAAAAATAATAAAATTCCTCTGAAATTGAAAATTGACATTCTCTCTAAAATCTGATGAATAAATGAAATAATATGATATATTATGATATTAAAATATAACTTATAGCAATATGTTCAGTATTGAAATGAAAATTGAAATGTATTGGAGGAGCAGTAGGTATACTTGTTAAAACTCTGATATTGGGGAATTTGAAACTTCCAAAAAAAAACATTCATATTAGTGATATCGGAATTATATCTCTCACAAACAGGTATATGAATTCATTTCGGATATCATTTCCTCCTCAAGTCGTCAGTAACCTGAAGTCCAGTTATTCTTCCAGCCATTCTCTGATCATGATATACATAGATATATTCAATGTTTGTCGTGGCATATAGCCAGGAAAGTAGTTGTTTTCTGTTGAATAAACCAAGAAATTTTCTTCACATAGATTTATGTGAATTCTCAATGTATTTCTTTATATATAGTAATTTTTTTAGGTTCATTATTTATCTGAGAATAATCATTTTCAATACTTCTTTTTAGTTTTGCTATCTATGAAAGCGTGTTTTTTTTTAGTTTTTTAAACTACTATTTATTCTTTCTCCTATCATTTTAGTATCGTTTGCCAACTCAGATTTTTTCTAGATTGCATTTATTATCACTTTTAATCCTACTAAACCAATAGTCCATTTTCGCGTCCTAATCTCATTTTCGAACAAAATTCTGACGCGGAATCGCAGGGTCAAAAAGAATTCGATAAGACCTTCAAAAAGAGGTATTGCACGACCCCTTTCCCCAATTTTTAAGCGCCCAGCTACACGACCTTGATCATCATCATTCTAGCTTGGCCTCTGAGAATTGGATGCGCACTCAGACGAATAAATCTTTTATTCGTCTGAGGATGCGCAGTAGACCAGTCGACGGAGAGTAGGTCGAGAGCTCATTCATGTCGAGGAACTGGTTCAGTGAACATCGGTTAGAACAGTACAGTACGATTGTACTTCCCAATAGAAAAGCGTAGTGGATCTTTGTCGCAACACTATAACCATCTCTAGCTGTTTATCGTTTGCGTATCTCAAGGGCCAAGCTAGAATAATGGTCAAACTGTACAGGATTGAAGCTATAAGGGTGAAAAAAGCTGAAAAACTAGTGTTTTTCTGAATCACATTGATACGGAAGCCAAATAATTGACCCACACATGACCACTCAACCTTCCTCGTTTTTTCTTTTGGACGTTTTAAACGTCAATTATGTTGGAAGCCAGAATGATGGATGCGGTGTGCGCAACTCTCGCAAGCCGCTCGTTTATTGTCTCAATCATGGAAATTGTATTGTTTTTGTTTATTGTTTATTCAAAAACTAGCTTTCAGTCAGAAATAAAATTCTGGCATGAGGAAGTTGATTACAAACAACAATAATAAAATAATATAAGGTGACAACAACAACAACAAAAAAATCAAAAGAATCTGAAAATGCTAAATCGATCAAGTCATAAAAATAGCCACAGGGACTAATCAGTAGATGGCAAAGTATAAATTTTATCTATTTCGTAATGAAATCATGTGTTTTTTTAATTCAACTTTAAATTTTGAAATATGTCTGCAATTTTTCATATTATGTGGTAATTCATTAAATTCAGCTAGAGCAGCGTGAGTAAATTTTTTTTGGCCAATCATAGAAGTAGCAGAATCAAGATGAAATAAGTTTGATTGTCTCGTGTGATGACCATGAATTTCTGAGTTTCTTATCAAAATAAAATTGGATTTCAGATTATTGTTTATTATATTATATGAAACTTTAAGAGAATCTATTTTATATAATTCATCCAATGAAAATTTTTCTGTTATGGCATACAGATCATTTGTTGGGATATCAAATGAGAGGCGATACAATACTTTCAGTGCTTTCTTATAAAGTGCAGATATTTTACTGAAATAATTTTTTGAACAAGATCCCGAAACGTTTATCATATAGGTAATACGACTGAGTATATGAGAATGAAGTACTATGTTTATGACTTTTTCGTCAAGTTTAGGACATCTTCGCAAAGCTCCAATGATCGGAGATATTTTTTGTATCAGAACCTCTATATGCTTGTCCCATTTCAATTGTACCCTGTATAATGAAAGATAAAATGTTAAGAATCAAATTGAAAACATGCAACTCATTCACAAACACGGAAACCTGAAAAAAGAACACTAAAACTAAATCATAATTCAATTTATTAATTCTTTAATATAAAAATCACAATGCCTGATAATCGCAGCAACTAATTACAATCGTTCGTAAAAATAAATGTAGCCCAAGTCTTTCGGTGGATTCTCGGATAAGGCCACCTTATTGTCGTTGAAGATCACCCACTGTCCATCTTTCAGCAAATGCACCACATAATGACCCACCATCGTGGATGTGCCCATATGGGAAATGAAGCCTATCAGCTTATATTCTATAATGGAAATACGGTTAAACGTTAAAGTTGTCGAGTTTTATGGTGATCCTGTATAAGATAGATGGATAATCATCGAGTTTCGGTTCATTAAACTTAAAACAAATCAAGTAAAGTCGAGACGCAGAATAGTAGAGGGGATATGTATGTTCTGGCTCATGCCAATCAGAGACCAGCATCTAGTTGGAGGTTACAGAAATGCCACGGGAATGCCACCGAAGTGTCACGGAAACGTCACGGGACATGGAAATGTCATAGAAATACCAAGGAAATGCCACGGAAATGCCACCGAAGTATCACGGAAACGTCAAGGAACTTGAAAATCTTACGAAAACGTCAAGAATATGTTACAGAAACCTCAAGGATATGCCACGAAAGAATTTCCATGTTCCGTAACGTTTTTTTGAAACTTCCGTGGCATTTCCTTGACGTTTCCGTGGCATTTCCATGACATTTCCATATTCCGTGACGTTTTCTTGACACTTCAGTGGCATTTCCTTGGCATTTCCGTGGCCTCCAACTAGATGCTGGTATCTGATTGGCTTGAGCCAGAACATACATATCCCCTCTACTCAGAATCCAACGATGACATAAAACATTTGTGCAACAAACTTCAACATTGGGAAATTGGAACAACCAGTAAAATTCCTCCAGAATAATACAAAAAACTGATTTATGGTTCACAACGTTGAATGAATTTTCAGATGTTCACTTCAGTAAGAATAACTTTGTAAGGGAAATAGGATTTTTTTTATTATTCATCAACGAACGTAAAAAAACTCAACCAAATTTTTTGTAAATATTTCAACACCTTCAATGAATTTGCCCCTGAAGTCGATTTTTTGATTCTATAGGACATTTCAAAATTCCAAATTAAAAATCCCAGATACTCTCAAAATAAAGAAAAACTGGTCTCCACTAAGGTTGGAATTTGTATTTCCTTGTAGATATTTTTTCTCATATTTCGATATATTCTAGTTATTTAAAAATGTTAATGGGGGCACAAGAAAAATATTAATAAATCTAATATCCAATGAAATTGGAGATAAAATTGATAAATCAGAATTAATATACGAGAATTAATTTGATACAATATATTTCTTCAGCTCATTCTTTAATTTTGTGAAGAGATTTCAGTCTGTTGGGTGAAATGTAAAAAAATATGATTTTTCCCAAATTGGGTTTTAATTTTGAAAATGTTCAAATTATCACTTTGCAGGCATAAAATTCAATATTTTTTTTATTACAAGAGAAATATAAGAAACTATATTCATTCAAGGCTTTATTCGCCTGGTCCCCGGTGAACCCTATAGAGACGACAGTGGAGAGGGCTCCGGAGTTCGGAACGAATTTTACGCGGATTTTTTGTTCCATATCATGTTTAATGAACCATTCCGGCTGATGAGCTGAGTTGATTATTCAATGATTCATTAAAATCTCAAATAAATACAATTCTACCTCTACAAGGTATATAAGTTAAGTGATAAGCTGATGATGAGAACGGGGATGACGTGTTTATGCCATTATTAATGCTTTCAGAAAACCGTGACAAACCCGTGAGGTTTATGTGACATTTTTCTTCCATTTTGGATGCTTTGACACAACCGTGAGAAACCCTCAAAATGTTCATTTCAGTCTCACCACTTAGCCCTGCCATCCTAGCCACCTAGCCATGTATAGACAAAGGGAATGAAAGAAAATTGTCACAGTTTGGTCACGAGTTAGTCAAAGCATCAAAATGTCACAAAAACGTCAGAAACGTCACAGAAACGTCACGGGTACGACACGGTTTTTATTTTCATGTAGATGAGTTATCACCGTTCTTATCATCAGCTGCAAAGAAAAATAAGTATAAATCTCCAATCTGAACCGTTAGATCAACCAAAAAAACTTACTTCCTTCTCCGTCCCTGAACTCCGGGGGTCCCGGAGACCCAACCTCCTCGGCCAGCTCGCCTTGATGCGAAAAAATCCAGTCCATGGCCCTCTCGACATTATTATCAGTAGCTTTCAGAGCTTTACTGGCCTGGTCCTTGGTGAACCCCATGGATATGATGGTGGCCAGGGCTTCGGAGTCCGGAACGAACTTGGCGGTTTCCAGTCCGGGAGGCACGAAGGGGGCGGAGAAGTCCGAATCAGTGATGTGCTCCATGAGCCAGGCAGCGGCGGCTTCCAGGCCGGAGTTGGCCGAGTGGAAGACGGCCCGTTTGCAAGCCTCCGGAGGAAAACCTAAAGGAGAAAAGGAACAAAATTCACTGTCTGAGGTAATTTACGTACACCGCTATTTCAATTCTCTCTTGGATAGTGTCGAAGAGGAAAATACACTCACCGGCATAAAAAAACCGGCCACCAAAAAATTTTGACAAATTGTTCGCACTGTAACTTTTTTAATTCTTGTCAGATTTCGGTGAAATTTCGACCAAATCGTATATACATGTTTTGGAATGTTAGCGTGGATTTGGTACTAAGAAGAGCTGATAGCAATAATTCAGAACCATTTACCAACCTTCTGCATTATCATGTTTTGAATTGAAGTGTGATCCTTTTTCGTCCCTTCTTAACAAAATGGTTAGAGATTCTCAATATGTTATTTTTAAGAGAAGATACAAGTCTTTTAAGAAAGTATGGATTTTTTTAAAATTTTTATCAACAATAATTAATTCAGAACTTATAGAGCGTCTTGGGGATGAACTTCAGAGGCTCATTCGCTTCAGTTCGGCCATGTCAGAGACTCTTCAAGAGCTCCGATTCGCCCTTCAAGGAGATTTTTAGTCAATTCCTCAGGACTATTTTAGAAATTTGATCAACTCGATGCCACGGCGGCTGAATGCCTCGTTGAGTGACTCATTATTGACTATATATAGTTCTGCTTTTTGTTTGTTTTTGTAATCAAGATATTTTCTGTAAATGCTAAGTAAATGAGGTAGCAATATATGATATTAATTCTTCAAGTTGTTAATCAATAAGTTTATGAAGGTTCTGATTATTGTAGATATGAGTGTTGATGAAATTTGAAAAATGCCATACTTTCCTAAAACACTTGTATCTTCTCTCAACAATAAGATATTGACGTGATTAAAAAACTATTATGTTAAGAAAGGATCACACTTCAATCCGAAGCATAATGAAACCAAGTTAAACCATTAAATTTTGCTACATGGCGTTAAGAAATAAAGGGTGAAATAGTGACTTTGATTTTTCCCTGTATAAAGATCAAGTCATCAGCTTTTCACTTAAACTAAGATTTGGGCTAACATTCTGGAACATAAATCTACGATGTGATCGAACAAGGATTGAAAAAGTTATAGGGTGAACAATTCTGCCAATTTTTTTGCCGGTGAGTGTATATGAAGCCTTTGAAATTAATTTTAAGATATAAAAAAGATGCCAACATAACGGCAAGTAAATAGGGTATAATTCCAGAATTTTGCCAAAATCGTATCCACAAACGTAAATGTTTTATTGATGAAAATGCATACGACTTTTATTTGATACTGCTGAGGATATTTTTTGAGTTGAAGTTTTTTTTCCTAGATGTTATTATCAGCCAAAGTAGGACAATGAATGTACATCAAATAGTCACTAATTTCAATATTTTGGATACAGAGGTTCTGTTAAATTCTAATGATACAGTAATTCACCAAATGGCGGAAAACATTCGTGAAATATACGAAGGTGATATTTCAGATATACTTTCCTATCAGCTTTTAGCTTTTCGAAAAATTTTCTCCTACGAACCTGAAAACGGAAAAAAGGGTTTATGGAAATTGATTATGGTTGAGAATTGCTCATTACTAAGAACATTATAGGAATTTCCTTTAATGACCTTCAAGAGATAAAAAAAATCTAGTAGTAGTTTTACCGAAATAATAACTTATCTATTCTGAACCTAAAAATTCCTGTGACGGTTGCATCCGCAGAACGTTCGTTTTCAAAGCTGAAATTAATAAAAACGTATTTGAGAAACTTCATGAATCAAACTGGATTATCATCTCTGGCAATGCAGTTGCTCGCTCTATAGATTTACAACAAATTATTACAAGATTTGCTGCTGCTGAATCTAGAAAAGTGGTTCTTCAATGGACATGCCTCAGTATTCTAATACATTTATATTATTTACCTTATATTTCAATTTTCAAGTAGTATTAGTTTTAATTCATATTTTTCCTGTGAATAATCATTTGATAAAATTTCATAGTTGATATGTGAATATTAATTAGTACAAAAAACAAACCCGCGTAGGGGCCCGCGGTTATAGCCTCGAACCCAGGCCCGTTGGGATGTTGCTACTGCACTGCTCTGAAGGTGACTTCCCCATCAAAAATAACAAGTCCAAAATTGACCGATTGATTGATGGAACTCACCCATATCGGCCAACTGGGAGAGCACCCCTTCGTCCATCACGGGCGCAGGCGGTCTCACTTCCGGCTCGGGCAGCAGCTCTTCTTCCGGCTGCGGTCCGTCCCCACGCAAAGCAGAAACGTCCAGCGTGTCCGGCATCTCGATGGACACGTCCAGCTTGATGGGCACCCAGTCCTCGCGCAGGGTGAACTTCTTCAGCTGGACGACGAGGTGGTCGGGAAACGACGACAGCCTGGTCGTCCTGAAACGGCCATCCAAAAGTTCATTTCGCCATTCACAAGTCACCTCATCTTTGATGATATGACCTTACTTCCATATCACCGATTGCGATAGTTGAGGTGTCCCACAAGGGTCAAATCTTGGGCCATTTCTATTTGTACTATTTATAAATGACATAGCCGATGGCATCACTTCTCATAAACGGATCACAGAATCAAAGGATCTAGGGGTTCTGTTTGATCAAAAACTCACGTTTTCCAATCACTTTCAGAATGTGATATCAACTTCAATGAAAAATTTGGTTTTTTTGATACGCAACTGCAAGGAATTCAGGACCTTTGACTCCTTGAAAACCATTTATATCACACTGATCAGGAGCAAATTAGAGTACTGCAGTGTCGTTTGGAATCCGTCTCATATGAAACATATATCTAGCTTAAAAAATGTTCAAAAAAAATTCTTGATATATGCATATTAGTGCACGATCAGGTTCCGAGTATATGTAAACCAGGCAAGAACTACGCTAAGACCTAATTTGGTTTCAACATTTCACATGGAGGTGGATCATCTTGTTAGTTGAAATAATGATGGAAGTAAGATATGGTGTAATTACTGATGCGCTTTTGTTTCAGAAATTTAACTCGACCTCTCGAGAACAGCGAGAGCAATGGTTCCGTCGATCTTCTAGTAGATGGCGACATTGCACGATTATGACATCTGTCAGTTTTGAAATTGTCGTAGATTTTTCGAATTCAGAGGGGAATAATCCCACTGTTGTATGTTCCGCGTACCTAAAATGCCATTTTCCATTTTATTTCCACTCGTCACAGCAGCAATAGCAGCATCACCATCTAGCGAGAAAATGTAGAATCAACGTCTCGCTCGTTGTGACGTAGAGAAATCATAGTATGCGGTCGAGTGATTATTCTGAAATTTTCAATACGTAATAATGGCGGAATACACGCACCATATCTTACTTCCATCATTGTTGAAATAATCAAGGGTCACATAATATATGATTGGTGGAAATTCAACCCTTGTACACAACCTCTACATGTAGTTGAAGAAAATATGAAACAGTTGAAATTTGTTAGTTTTTCACTTACTTTCTTGCTGTTACGTTTTCTTGAACGGCCGAACTATAGAAATTGTTGATCACTTCCGACTGCATGAAGGATTCAAGGCATGAGAAGAACTTTATCTTCGGTCTGACGATTGCATCTGGTTCAAGTTTCTTCCCTTGAGATTCCGCTTCTGCTTTTCTAGCTTCATAAGCTGAAACCTAATATACAGAAGACGTAGTGTGTCAAGCATTTTCATCTGTAGATACTGACTTATAATCTAATTTTGAATTAAAAATGTACCATTTTCTTTCAAGAGCCGGCTCCAAATTCCTAGCGCCATCTGATAACGAAATGATATATGTCCCAAAGGCATGTAACACCATTTTGGTTTATCGAACGGCACCTGTGCCAATCACTATGCTGAGCAGAATGATTGAAAAATTGCACTTTCCTGTGCGAAAATTTGCACTCGATTTCGCGGTTTGATAACGAGATGATAACTATGTCATCCAATACCAATTGAATAGTAGATTTCAAAAACCTACCACAGCACAGCGATTTATTTGCTCCTATTATTCCGGCCAAACTTCCGCCATGTGATAACAAGTTGGAACAAGTAGCAAATGAAAGGGAAAATGTCCCTTTTGCGACTATCCAAACGTGACGCGATTCAACAATGGATGTGTCGTGTTTTACGACCAAGACGATATTTCGGGGATCAATTATTATAAGTGGATTTCGAGGGCCAAACCGCAGTACCTCGTAACTGACATTTATATGAAAATCCCGTTTTTTATTGGGAGTGCTTCAGAACATCTATCTCCATCTTTCGGGTGAGTTAGGCTGCAGTTTTTCGCGTGGTTTCTGCAGAAATATCGGAAAACATTAACTCGTATGTTTTTAACTTGATATTCTGAAGCAGTACCTCGTAACTCGCTATGCGTCAATGGCGCCGTAACGTGTAGTGTGCTGTTCTCAAACTGAATTTCTGTTCTAAAGGTAGGAAGATTTCCTATTGCTTCATTCTTGCCTTCATCAGTTTGAGTAATTATTATATCTTTGAAATAATTTTCTTGTATGGAAGAGTTATTCCTGAATTATTATATGATTTCTCATCTCCAGTTTTTACATACGAGGTCAAAGTAAATGATTATTATCTTCGAGTTGGCATCTGAACGAACGAAAAAAAATTGTTAGTTGAAAAATATCCGTCCGAGAATAAGTCATCTAGGTAGCATTGTTGTGCACCTCATTTTTTCATATCCAACTCTTTGTACGAGAAAACAGTTCCTCGTAAAAACAATCGAACAATATACAGTACCTCATAAATAACACAATTTTTTTGAGTTTTGATTATACGTTTAATGTCAACTTATTTGTAGAAAGTATATTTCCAAGAAATATCATTCAAGAAGTGTGATGATTATACTTCGTCCCAATTAATGTGACACTTTTTTGTCGGTCCTGTAAAATTTGCATTTTGTCACTCAAGAGGTACTGTCGTTTGAATTTTGCACCAAATATTTTCGATGGACATGTAGCCCTTTGCATTTGAATTTTTTGGTATAGTAGGTAAACCCGATTTTGAGGAAAGCGTGACTAGTCGGCTATTGCATCTGGGCGACCGAAATAAAAGCGCTTCTAACCTCGTCTTTGTTTATCGCCGCATCCATCGGTATTGCCAGCGGCAAAATAACGTCGGACCTAGTCAGGTACTTCACTTTCTTGCTGCTTCCGCACTGGAACCTCTCCTCCACCCCGAACTTGAAGCACTCCCCCGGATTCGCCTGGTTCTTGGTGTGGCGCTCGAGCAGGGACAGCAGGTGCAGCAGGAACTCCTGCACGTCCTGCTGCTTCTTGGTGGAGAATTCGGGATGGCCCCTACCCACCAGGGTCTTGAACATGGCGGGGCAGACGCCGGGCGGATCGGCGTCTACAGGACCGCCCGCGGGCGGAGGCACGGAGTATTTGCCCGAGAGAAGACCGGAGCCGAGTTTGGCCCTGAGTTTTCAGTTGAGATTATTTGTTGGTAAAGTATAACACGAAGTGCTAGTTTGAAATGACAACTAAGACACATCAAATACATTCAATGATACACATTTTGCTTATTGAAATAGGTTTAAAATTCACGAAAACACTATCTAGGTAGGAACTCCTCGAGGGAATAGAAGGAGTCTTCAGTCAGTCTTGAGATAGTTCTTAACTCTAGATATAAAGCTATTTAAATTTAGCTATTGAACCCGCAAGTACTATCCCCAATGAAAATAACGTAACTACTACCCGCGGGTCAAATTGACCCGTAGTAAATGTTTAGGTTTTTTTCAGCTTCATGAAAATAATATTCAACTGAGCATGTGATATTGATTATGGATATACATTGAAATGAGAAAAAAAAAGGAAGATTCTGGGCAGATATTTTTCGCACACTGTCCACAAAAAGGACAATGGACACCGCATCTTTTTCTTTTTGATGCACCAACTCTTTGTTTAACCCCAGGTGGCACCATGGGATGTGTTGGATTCGGTATTTTCATTATACCAGATGCAATAGAGCGTACATTGTATGGTATACTCTCGGATCCATTTTCTGCGTTACAAAAATGATTCGTAAATAAGAGACAACTCTCATGGTAGAATATCACTACTGAGTAAGAATTCAATCCAAACTTATGTGAAAAATAGCAGGAAAACCTTCAACGGTTAAATGATTATCTTACCTACCTATACAAACAACAATGGCAAACATCATATAAGATTTGAGACGTCTCAACTACCCAGGGTCAGAATGACCCAAAACGGTTCACTGGAAGATTCCTGCGGATTCTGTCGCTCTTATGTTTACAGCAATCTGTAGAAATATATATATCACAGGAGAATTTCGGAGAGGGCAACATAAATTATTCGTGTGAGTGTCAAAGATACAGTATTTCAAACATATCACTGGGTCAGTTTGACCCGTGGGTAGTACTTGAGGGTTAAGGTTTGTTGGTAGTGCATTGAAGAAAGGTATGTCAGTTATCTACGGTAGAAATTCATATTCCAAAGTTAAGTGAATATATCAAAAATGCGCAATCGTTATGATTCAAGCATGGAAAGAGTTTGAAAATTCAAAACCTACATAGAAACTAGCTCCTTGCCTACTGATAATCTGAAATTTCAAGCGCAAAAGATCGATATAGAGGAAAAAGAGGAGAAAAAGGAAATTAATGAAAAAAGGACGGAAATCTAAAAAATTTCAAGAAATTTCGCCTGTTTTTTGGCGTGGCTCCAGCATCTATAGAAAAGTGGAAGGTCGCCGACTTTTTTACAGTGTTCTGTCAAAGGCGGTCAAAGGATTAGTGAGTGTGGCATCTCCCGACGTTCATACCTCGCATGGCTGGAATTATAATGATACAGGGTATTAAAAAAATACAAGAACTGTCAATTATTGTGAACGAAGAAATTGAGATAGCTCATAGTTTTTGGACTAAGAAATTCAGCTTTTTTATCAGATATCTCCGAAAGTATTCGGATTCTCAAAATAGCATTCTGTTAGACATAACATTAGGCAAATTTGCCATAATTTAACCGACCCTGTATCCCCTACATTACTGTTTATGATATCACAATGATGAGGCTCTGATTCCAGCCACCCTGTACACTTGTACAGGATGAGCAGATTTCGATGGCCCAGCTTTATATCATAAGGAGGAAAAAATATAGACAAAATCTGAAGAGTTTCTCAAATAGGCTGAATTCCCATTTTTCACAAGATCTAATTTTTATGAACATGAGTTGAAAAAAAATATTTCTTCATCAACATATTCCAAACAAATTTGTGATAACACAGTTATATCAAGAAGTCTTTAACGTTATGAAGTATAGGAAACGCATTTGAAAAAAATTCAAAATTCGAGAAAAAATTCTGGCGATGATTGGATTTTTGATAAATAAACTTCAGAACTTTCCCACATAAAAATTAGCTCCTGTCCCACTCACTATCTGAAATGTTGAGCCTAGAAGATCAGAATAGAAGAAGAAGAGAAAAAAACTGGAGAAAAAAGAAAATGATGAAAAAAAGAAAATTTTCGAGAAAATTCGACCTTCAATTATATTTTCGGAATGGGAATATAGTAATATATCAAATATACCAAAATATAGGTATTTTTATGGAAAATAATAATTCAATGTCCGTCACTACTTCAGTTTCCAAATATGAAAATAAATTCAAATCAGCTGAAACATTGAGTTTTGCTATAAGAATATTAATTTCCTTTATTGAACCATGGAAAATTACATTTCCATAGAGGTTCTTACTCTAAAAAAAAAACCTGTAAGTAAAAAAAAAGAATAGTTGAAAATATATAGAGTACATTTTGTCAGGTACATTGGTTACAGTGTAGTATTAAAAATAGCCTAATTACATCACAGAATTTGCACAGACCTGCTGTTAAGAAACAATTAAAACCAAAGCAGTCTTATACAAATCACATTCTACAAATGACTGAATAATAACAAAAATAAATTGCCATTTATCCCATACTCTTCCACTCAACCTTCTCAATATTTTTTATTTCATCAAAAATACAGTGTTTTTTTGCATTTTTGTAGGTACTCACATTTGCACATTGAAATCTTCAGCTGGATCCCCTGAAGCATTTGCAAATATTTGGTCGGCACCCTCATGATATTTGTGAACAAAATCTGGTATCCTGAACAGCATCTGCATCAAACTGTTCAAGTAACAAGTATTGCCCATATTCGTCATCCCTGTATAACCTGGTCCATAAATGGGCTTCAAAACACCACCACTTTCTTGAAGGGCTGCCCATTCATTTGTTTTTTGGTTCAATTCCAGCTCCAATTCTACCATTGATTTCTCGGTTTTTTCCATATTAGCAATGTTTATTCCTGAATGTATTGCTTAGTTAAGGTTCATAAAATAAACCCATGATTCTGTTGATATTTTGAAAATATGAATGTTTTCATCACATTGAGAACCAAGAGTCCATGTTATTCCATAATATTTAGTAATAAACATTAAAAAAAATTTATTCCCTGATTTTGAAGAATTATAATACACATCAGAAGCAATAATTCATGAAAAAAAAAAGATGATTCATTATTAGTCCCAGTAGTTATAACTATAATATATATACAATGCCCTACAAAAAATGGGCCATTAGAAATTGTTCCTTATTTCAAGTTTCTATATAATATATTATATTCAATAATTGTAATTAGTATCCAGTGATCCCTGTTAGAAATTCAAACAGGCACTGAAATGTTGCCTCATCACATGGGCCATAATATAAATACATATTCAATTTGTTTCAAAAATGTAGTTGGGTCTATAGTGAAAGGAAATAAAACACTGTTGCCTATTTTGGTCATTTGAATCTAATTGAATTTTCTTAGGATAATCTGTTGGTTAATCCTGTTATATCAGCTAAATAGAAGAGCTCATATTGATTGGAAGTTTTAAACATCATTGAGTATTCACAAGGCAGTGTGGGGAAATCTATAAGTTGATAATTGAAACTAAAATCCATTTTGTTGGGTAGCTGAATATTTTTCTATAGTTTGGTTTGTCTGGAAACTTATGCTAAAATTGCTTTGCAATGCATTTTTTGAGGTGTTGTCATGTGATTATAAACAGTTAAAAAAACTGCATTTTATCATGATAGAACATTGAAACTACTATTTTATCATAGAATTTTATTAAAATTTTTCTGATCATGCCAAGCCTTGTGATCAAATAAATGGTTTAGTGTACCAAGTGTTCTTACCCCAATGAGCCAAATGCTGTATTAAATATGGATCTTCCACCATATCATCCTCACTATAACTGAATACATCAGCTTTGCCATCTTTGGTAATTGTTCCCAATTTTACAGCAAGTGGATAGTTGCTAACAGTGAAATGTTCTATAGCATGATTATTTCCCCCTGACCCATCATAGAACTTTCTACCACACAAAATGGAACCATCTGTGAGGTTCAACCACAGATTCTCAGTTTTGTCACATTTTTCACACTTCCACCCTGTTGGTGGAATTTTTTTTCCATTATCGAGCTGTAAGAGTCCAGAGGCATATTTTGATACCACTCTGGCCTCACCATCCCATGTACCACTAAGAGCTTCTAGTTCTGCTAATTTACCTGCTGAAGGTAAGTCAATTATAGCCTGAACAGACTGCTTCACCTACAAAATCAGCTTTGTTTAGACAGTCACAACAGTTTTTCATATGATCACTTACCAATTCAGGAAGTTCAGTATTTGGCCATGGAATAGTGGCAAAACTAGGTAGCACAACAATGTTATAAAAGTCTTCATATTCAAACTTTTTCTTTCCCAGTTCTGGGTCAAACCCACCTTCCACTCCAATAGCTAAACGGGTTATTTTTTTCTCTGGTCCATCGCCTTGCTGTGGTGATGAAACCTATGAAGTTAAAATAAGTTCTTCCATAGACTAATGGATGATACCTCCAAGAGGAACTCATGCATTACCTCATGTTTTTCTCTACGTATATGAAGATATATGACTTCGCCAGTTTTCTGATAATGTCTTTGGACATGGTCTCGTCCAAGTCCAATGAACGAAGTTAAACTTACATACAAACCAGTATCGGTTTCCTGAAAATGGGATTTCATAACCTAGAATCAGTAACCAATTTATGGAACTTACGGGATTATCGAAAGAGAAAACACATTCATCTTTATAAACTTTATTATTGGCTGTCGGAACTCTTATATTGTCCAAGCACTTTGCCAAATTTTCCATAATTAAATGAGAAAGTTGAAATAATTTTCTTCAATACCTCTCCAAGCAAAAATCAAAACATCAAGTGACATTTCACATTAGTGACAACCACGGTGACAACCTGATCAAAGTGATTACCTGTCACCTGACCTGACAACGACAACCAGTGCTGCCAACATTATCACAGCCTAGCCATAGCACCACTATACGGGAAATATTGCCACGGCAGCTAGAAGCGTGGTTTCTTCGTCCCAGCGAAAATACCGGGGTTGGATTCCTACTCCAGTTAATCTTTTTTCATTTTTTTTGAGTCATTCATCGAAAAAATACTATGGAGGCATTTATTGGTTAGGTCGATAGTGATTCGCTATGGGTTGCAATAATGATGCGATCAAGGATGCGATGACCGACCCTGGAGGAACAACATTGAAACACAACCTCACTTTTCTCATTTGTTTACAAGTGATTGAAATAGTTTTTCACAATTATTTTGGTATACGAATCGTATTTTTCGGCTATTCATTAATTCGTTCATGCCATCACATTGTGCTGTTGTACAAAATGCACAAAAACTGCAGCAGAAGACGAAGAAATCCTGAATCCTGTTGGTACATTATGATTTAAAAGTAAGTACCTACTATAGTCACTCACATATAGTTGTCATTTTTGAAATTTGGTAATTTCTCTGATTTCTCATCGGAATTCCTCCTGCAATAGGAGCTAATAAAAATACACACCCCACTTGGTCATAGAGTACATTTCTGATCTCGCTTCAGCAAATTTCAGGATCCCAATCCAACGATTACGTAAAATATGGGGGTGTTTCTATAAAAAGTGACACAAAAATGAAATTTTCAGAATTCAAAATTTCCCTGGGAGAATTCGAAAAGTTAATGTACTGGGCGTCCTGATTCCGAAACTAAAGTAATTTTCAATCTAGTTTGCCTCCTAATATCATTTTCCGGAAATTGGGGTGGTTCCATGACTTTTGGCGAGCAGTGTATATCACTAAAGATGACTCCACTCCATCATACAGTACATTTTTGGTATATCTCTTCCGTTCCAGCAAATTTCAGGATAACGAAGATGTAAGATACAGGGGTATTTCCATTAGAAGTGAGACACACTGTATATAAAAAAATACATTGAGAATTCGCATTCTCCATGTGGAGAAAATATTAATTCTTTCTCGGTTTATTCAACAGAAAACAACTACTTTCCTGGCTATATGCCACGACGAATATTGAATTACATCGTGCATGATTGAACACACATGATAATAATTTAAAAAACAGTTACGAATGTTGAAAACAATATCCAGACTTTTCATAGATTCATATTCTATGTTGGTCTCACGATTCATATTTGAAATTGATCCTTAGTTTCAGATCCGAACAGCACATTTGTTTGGCATGCAAGGTCCTAAAAATATAACCAACGTAATTGAAAATGTGGAAGATGCCTACTGGAAAAAACACTATTCGGAAAGAAAGCTGATATGTAGCAATCCAGTTACGGACTATGAGAATATCATTCAGGTATGTCTCAGATTCAACATCCATGTACTTCATCTGTTGATATTGATTTTCTGATTTAAATATGTACTTCGATTAATATGTGATGATGTTCAGTTGCAGATGCGAAAAGCAGTGTTTGATACTTGCCACTCAATCGGAGGAAGAAATCCAGTAAATACGGACCGAATAACAGGAGATCCGCAAAGAGAACTGACCAGAATATACTTTACAGAATTCAGATCATTATATTCGTACGGAAGGCGAAATATTGAATACCTTTCCCGATTCTCAAGCAGACAGACAGATATTCGCTTTATATGTCTCTATGGAAACACGACAGGTACCCTTACGAGGGGAGAGTATCGACTCGGCGTTCATAAACCCTCTCTGCAAAGGAGGTAGGCGCATATGGTGGGTTAGGTATATACAGTGTTCTTCATTGCAGAGAAAATTGTTGTTTATCTGCATGCCTCGTCTTCATTGAGATAGTTGATGAATTGATGAATTACAAAAATATATCGCGTTCCAGTTACGAATTTTGAAAACAATATCCAGACTTTTCATTGATTTATATTGTATGTAGGTTTCATGATTCAAATTTGAAATTGATACTTAGTTTCAGATCCGAGCAGCATATTTTTTGGCCTTCAAGGTCCTCAATATAACCCACGTTATTGAAAATGTGAAAAATGCCTACTGGAAGAACCACTATTCGGAAGAGAAGCCGATACGTAGCAATCCAGTTACATACGTTGAAAATATTATTCAGGAACCGAACAGAAGATCCGCAAATAAGAGACCTGAGCAGAGTATACTTCACAGAATTCAGATCATTATATTCGTACGGAAGGCAATATATTGATATCCTTTCCAGATTCTCATGAAGACAGATAAGACAGATATTCACCTTTATTTCTCTATGGAAACACGACAGGTACCCTTACGAGGGGAGAGTATCAACTCGGCGTTTATAAACCCTCTCTGCGAAGGAGGTAGGCGCATGGTGGGTTAGATATATCAATATATTAAACAATATCCAATATTCTATGTAGGTCTCACGATTCAAATTTGGAATTGATCCTTAGTTTTAGATCCGAGCAGCACATCGTTTGGCCTTCAAGGTTCTTAACCTTAATATAACCCACGTACGTAATTGAAAATATGGAATATGCCTACTGGAAAAAACACTATTCGGAAAAGAAGCGGATATGTAGCAATCCAGTTACGGACGTTGAATATTTATTATTCAGGTATGTCTCAGATTCAACATCCATGTAATTCATCTAATGATATTTATTTTCTGATATGAATGTACTTCATCGATCAATATATAGAAAACCATAGGTGGACCGAATTTGAAAATTTGGTAGTTCACTATTGTTGATAAGTGCTATCCGGCCAAAATATTTTGAAGATTGTGGCACTTCCGGTTGTACCGGAAGAGGACCCCAACTTCGTTATTTTATTGCATTTTTAGATTATTACTGAAGATCTTTTTTCACTTGGGCATGAATACAGAGATATAGGGTGTTCAAAATCGAGATTTTTCAATTTTAAGATTTTTTTGTGTCGGAACTATTCATTATCGATCAAAACGGCTTACATGTCCCTATCTCAGGGTGCTTCAAGATTCAGAATTCAGATCATCCTGTATCTGTTCCAATTTGTGTTTCATCTATGACTAGAGGGAAGCAGTAAAGGGGCCATCTCGCGATAGGCCCAAAATAAAAAAAAAAACATTTCTCGGTCTGAGAGGTTTATGTAAATATTTTCTCGAGTACCTCTATATACCGATCAGTAATCTCTACTGTGCTACAACATATACAGCTCACTCGATTATTGTTTTCTCCTCTCCATATTCCTTTCCATATATGGATACATATTCCAGGAGTTTCAGTCGTAGGTACAGTCGTCTTCAGAAAACATGTCGATGAACAGTGTCAGCTCTCTTAATCACCGCTGCAATAAGAGCTCTCTCATACCGTCCAACCGCGAGATTTTCTCTGAATACAACTGTACCTATAACTATAATGATTCAGAATCAGTTACCTATACCTTGATATACCTAAGCATATAAATATATCCATACCATGGAAATTATTGCAGCACTGATGAATTTTCATTAATGAAAAAAACGTGGGTACCTATATACATGCACCCATCGAAATATTATCTAGATCATCATCTATCATTCGAAATATATAATTGCACATAATTATAATAATTGTGGTTCCGAGTGTGAACATCCAAATACATCACATTGTCATCAGGAGACCCAGCTGTGTTGTGTTATTGTACAGTATGATATAATGGTTTCAAAATGAGTGCAGTGGCTATGCTTGTTGGTGTAGCTTTAGCGACTACAGCTGCAATAGCGATACTGATTTGTGAGCACAAAAATTATCTCTGATACCTACCTATACAGTTTTGGTGAATAAGAAAAAACTTGAGGCAGAACAAACATAGTTATTTATTATACAAGGGAAAGAAGTAGTAGATTTTAGCTCCAGGTTGTATTGTCTCCCGACGCGTAGCGGAGGGAGACAAAAAACCGTGTGCTAAAATCTAATATTTTTCCGTGTATAATACAGTAATACACTTTTTTTTGTGACAGAAGAAAGGACGAACCAATATTGAGAAGATATTACATTATTTTTAAATCTGAAAATTATCGACGTGAAATTTTAAGTTTTTATAATAATAGTGACACCCGCGTTGTAAGCATCTTTGCCATTCTTTTGAAGTTATCAAATATCTGATGTCACTTCTGTCAGTCTAATTCTGTGATTTGATTTCAAAAAATTCCGAATTTAGTGGTTGTTTAGTAATGTAACCGCGAAGTCGAATGGAAGATAAAAGGACTTGCAGTTCTTTCTCGGAGACGGTATTATTGACTCATTTTTCGGAACTATAGCACAACAAAAGCCATCAACAGTGTATATATATGTGAAATATATCCGATAAAAAAGTACTCACTTTTTTCCCACGGGAAAAAAGTAATTTATGAAAAGTGACCTGCCAACAGAAATGAAATGCCAAACTTTTTTTCCCGTCACAGAAAGAAATATATTTTCCAACGACAAATATGTGGAACTGAATCTCCAGGAATAGGAAGTATAGCTATAGTGTAGCTGAATGTAAAGGGTGTATTCCAAGTAGAAATGAAAAGTTGAGGTCACTGTTCTGCGAAATCGGAAGCGGTACCTACTCCGTCAACATTATGACTTCAATCATCTCATCAACAAACGTGGAATATGAAAATTCAAGAAGTGTTCTTCCTGTGACGGGAAAAAAGTTTTGAATTTTATCTCTGTTGACAGGTTATAAAATGTCACTTCTCATAAATTACTCCTTTCCCACGGGAAAAAAAGTGAGTTTTTTTCCCGGATATATATCACATATATATACACTGTTGATGGCTTTTGATGTGCTATAATTCCGAAAAATAAGCCAATAACACCGTCTCCGAAAAAGAACTGCAAGTCCTTTTATTTTCCATTCGACTTCGCGGTTACTTATAATTCGCAATTTTTTGAAATCAAATCACAGAATCAGACTGACAGAAGTGACATCAGATATTTGATTACTTCAAAAGGATGATAAAAATGCCTACAACGCAGGTCTCCCTACTGTTAAAAACTTTAAATTCACGTTGATAATTTTCAGATTTCAAAATAATGTAATATCTTCTCAATATTGATTCGTACATTCTTCTGTCACAGCAAAAAATAGTGTATTATACACGGGAAAAATAGTAGATTTCAGCTCACGGTTTTTTGTCTCTATATACATTCAACAATTGAATTATTCATCAGCAATCTTCCATTGTTTTGTACCGCAAAAGATAAAAATGGACCTCGGTTGGGTCGTAATCAGTCGAAGCCAATCCAGCTAAAGCAATTAAAAATCGATTGGGAGCAAAAATGTAATGACCAATCTGAACGAAAATAAATATTTGTTGTTGCACTGTTACAGCGATGGTGAATGGGCAATTACCGGCATCGGAACCGACACAATTGAACGGAAACGAAACTAACGGACACTGGATTGATCCAAATGGACCAAGCGTGCAGTTCGTATTGTTTACCAGGTGGGTATAGACCATGTATAGAAATACCAAAACTTGAATTATGGAATAAGAACGAAAAAGAAAATCTTCCAATTTGTTATCGAGGTACAAATGGATTTATTCAAGCAGGCATTTGAACACGATAATGTTACTACATTGTAAAATGTTTACACTTGTCAATACATATAAAAAATCGTTCGATAATAAATAGATAAATGAAAAAATAATAATAAAGGAAATAGAATAAATAACAAAAAACATGATCACATTGGTCAAACAAACATATACACTTAGTTCTATAAATATCACATTTCGGTATTGTCAACTAGAAGTTTTATAAATCTATAGCATGTCATGTGTCAATAGGGCTGTGAATTCCTGAATAGAGTAGAAACCTTTTCTGATCAGATATTTTTTTAATTTACATTTGAAGGGCATTGAATTTAATTTCTACATATCATCATTCATCAGGTAATTTGTTGAAAACACTCGGACCATAGAAATTGAAACCTTGTTGAGATTTCTGAAGTCTATTTGTAGCAATGACAATATTATTGTTATTTCTTGTATTGTGAGAATGGATATCAGAATTTTGTTTGTATTCAGTCAAGTGTTCTTTAACATAAACCAGGCATTGATAAATGTACATACTAGGCAAACTAAGAAAATTATATTCAATAAATAGGTCTTTACAATGTGCCCTGAGACTTGAGCTTGATATAATTCTAACTGCTTGTTTTTGTTGCCTAAAAAAGTTTTGCATGTTTGCGCTGTGTCCCCAAATCAGAATCCCATATGTCCAATAATCTTTTCCTAGTATGCTTAAAGGTAATATATACATATTCTATATCGTATTCAAATTATTATCGATGATCCAAAATAATGTCAATTTTTCTCTTCAGAAATAGTTCTCCATATAATATTAGAATTGGAAACATCGATGACCTACGTAATTCTGGATTCAACATTAGCCATTCAGTAAAAATATTAATTCACGGTTACCAAAGTAGCATAAAGGAGGCTATTTTTGTTATCACTAAGGATGGTGAGTACCTACCTACCAAAAAAATAGTAAGTGAATCCCCAAATCATTCATACAAATGCAATGTGAATAAATAGGTAAATAATTACTGAGCTGACCTCGTAGTCTTTATCTAAATTTTGGTGAAGCTCATAATATCACCTTCGCCAAAAACTAGAATAAGAATTCAAATAGCTAGAAACATATTGTTTGTGAGTTATGCAATTCTAATATTGTTTTCCAAGAGCAATACTTACCTCAATCAACGACTGAACTGAAATTATGCGCTTAGATGAATATCTATCCTCGAATAATAGTAGGTGAGCTAGTTGAAAATTTCGATCATCTCAATCTTAAGGTAATGGTAATGTTAAGTTAATGTTAGGTCAATTTTGAGTAAGTGTTAAGTTAATGTTTAGTTGATTTCAAGTTAATGTTTAGTTAATGTTGAATTGATATCGAGTGATGTTAATTTTGATTCAGTGTTGATTTAATGTTGAGTAACTGTTAAGTTGATGTTGAGCTAATGTTACTTCATTGTTGAGTTGATGTTGAGTTAATATTGAGGTTAATTAAATAATAATAAAAATAAGAACTTTAACGTCATCGAAAATCATTCGAAACATGGTACCTACTCAGGTCTCATGAACACCCATAATGCATATAATGCAAATATTTGTGGTCGTAGGAAAAATATGCCACTTTCCACAATAGTTATATACAGGGTGGAGACTTCAAGTGGAATAAATTCGCTACTGGGGGAGTGAATGATTTTTCTGGAAATTTGTAAGACACGTCAACGTTTGAATGTATTTACCTACATTTGGCGAGCAATATGGTGAATATAACCCTTCAGGGGTAGCTGGAATCAACCCCAACATGTTTTTTTCAAATGCAACCCTATGGCTGGCGACACCTCATTGGAATACTGGTTGAAAGAGGAATCCAGCGTACTGATCATATTTCAGTTTGCAGTACGTTTTGGGGTCGCATAAAATAAAAATATAATTTCGAGGTTCATTATATTTTCAACGTATTTTCATCAAAATTTCGACTTTTAGTGGCAGTGATATAGGGAATTTCGACCAGTTTGCAATAACACTTCGTTTCGAACTGTGAATACGGCAAAAAAATTGATTTAACACTGGAATACAATAGCAGAAAGATAATTCCATTTCAATTTTATGTATCCTTTGAACGTATGAAAAACTGAAATTTGACTAGTATGCTGGATTCCTCTTTCTACCAGCTTTCCAATGAAGGGTCACAAGCCATAGGGTTTCATTTGGGAATAAAATGTTGAGGGTATTTTCGGGAATTTTCAGGAAAAATATTCACTTCCCCGCTAACAAGTTTATTCCAGTTAAAGTCCTCACAGTGTTATGTAATTTACTACATTCTCAACACACTAAATGGACCACTCATAATTTGACTCTATTTCGAAGACCTGTATTTTTTGAAAAAATTGACCGATCTTTATGCGGTTTTCGATATCAAATGTGATGTTTCATTGGCTTCAAAGGGAGCTAGAACACTCCGGAAAAGTCCGCAGAACAAAACTTACACAGGGTGTAAAGTGGAACCATTACACTATGGTCTACATTTCCAATGCTGCCAGAGCTCGAGGAATTTTTTACTGATCATAAGTCAGTCATATTATGATACACTGGAACCTCATCTCGGGACGTTTTCGTGATTTCTCCTCAATTGGCCATTGGAACAGAAATTAGATTTTTTTTCAGAAGTCTTGCATTTCTTGAATTTTTTCTCTAGAGCTCCACTTGAGCTGACTATTGGGAAGAACTGTTCTCATATTTTGTGGAGGACAATGAAAGACGAAAAAAGCACCATTGTAGGTAGAATATACAGGATGAAAATAAAATAGGACAAAATCTCATTTCAGTAAAAAAATCAAAAACGGTGACTGAAACCATGACCCATTCGATTCAGTATATTGAGAACCTATAACCTGAACTGTATTTCTGTTTTTTAAGCGTATTTGGAAACTGGTGACTACAACGTGATAGGAATGGACTGGTCCGTACTCTGTCAATCCGAATATTTTTCGGCATTGAGGGGAGTAAAAATAGCAGGCTATTATCTGGGAGTGTTTCTCAGTTGGCTGGTCCAGATGGGGGTCCCATTAGCGAACGTTCACCTAGTGGGGCACAGCATGGGGGCCCATGTGGCCGGCATCGGGGGAGCCAGCATAAAGTATGGAAGGGTTGCTAGGATAACTGGTAAATTGGGTAGAACTTTTTTTTCGAGAGAATTTATTTATCATGAAGATAATACATACATATACAGTGCTCGTCTAAAGTCCATTCCCCCCCTACTAAATTTTGAACCACCTGTTATATCGCAACGAGATTTGTAGGACTTCAATAAGAGATAAAAACCAACTTTTTCATGGAAAAATCAAAGCTAATAAAAGTTTCAATATGGCGGCAGACCGCTATCTTCAATATTTTTCTTAATAGAACACGAAATTTGCTCATAGTTCTCAACATTTTTCCCTATTACACTTTACTCCTAAACTCAATTGTCTTCGAATTATTAACGTTTGAAAAGTCGAATATCGTTCATTTCAAACCCTCTAGCACGAATGATTACAGAGATATATAGGGTGTTCAAAATCGATATTTTTTAACTTTAGGATTTTTTTCTGACGAAACTATTCATTATCGGTCAAAATGGCTCTCATGTCCGTATCTTAACTTCTGATTTACTATCTACTGACATTTAATAATTGGAACAGATGCAGGGTGATCAGAATTCTGAATCTTGAACCACCCTGTAAATATTCCAATTGAATTTCAGTAGATTGTAAATCAGAAGTTGAGATAGAGGCATATAAGCCGTTTCGACCAATAATTAACTGTTTCGACACGAAAGAACCTAAAGTTGAAAAATCTCGATTTTCGAACACCCTATATCTCTGTAATCATATCCGCTAGACCCCAAGTGTGATACATTGATGAAATCAGCTCTTCAGGAAGAATCTAAGAATACAATGAAATACAGAATGTTCCATTCGAAAAGAATCAAGTAATACTCCGTAGATCGTTTGTTCCGAGCACGCTGTATTTTCTGAGCACCCTGTATTTTCTGATGCAACGGGAAAAAATTCTGAAAAACCATTCTAGATGCTTTTTCAAATATTTAAATCGGTTCAAAAATAAGTGAGCTAGAGAGGGGGGGACATTTATGCAGAATCACCCTGTACATGGGAAACTTTTACTGCAATTATCTGATCCATAATATACATCGTGGCCATTTGAAAACGAAACAGAGCCAATTGTGGGCTCCCTAGATCATTTACGAAAAAAAGCTCGTACCCGTCAATTTTGATTTCTGGGAAAATAGTCTAGGCAGCAAAGTAGTAGATTGACTGCCGAGGCTGAATTCATAGCCGAGCGTAGCGAGGCTAGGAATCCAGCTAAGGCAGTCAATCTACTTTGCTGCCGAGTTGAACATATAATTTTTTCTCCGATTGTTCATAATGATATAATTATACCTCTTCATTTTTCCTGTAGTGTTCAACTAAAATGAAATTTGATAGACATCGCAGTTGTTGGAATGGTTGGTTGCTATGGAAATGTCCATAATAATTATAGTTTGACAATCCATGAAATTTCTGACAGTCGTGCGAAAAAAATTCGGTATATTTAAATTATTATATAATGGACAGTGATAGCGACCTGGAAGTACTTACACCTCGAGAAATTAGGGAGGTGGCAAAAAATATAGAGTTGAATTCGTTGCGGGAGAAGTCTCGGATGAAATATGAAGGAAATTATGAAAGATTTATGGATTATTGATTTTGCTGATACATATCAATCAGCAAAGTACCCACTTTGCTGCCTAGGCAGGAAAAGTTATACTTTGCTGATTGATATGTGTCAGCAAAATTAATATTTGCTGCCAATCGGAGAAAAGCATGTCTTTGTTTGGAAAAATGTTTGAATAGAAGAAATAAAGACATATTCAAAAAGATATCTAGTTTTTACTTATCTTTGGACGTTTTGGGAACAAATCTGCTACCGTTCTCAACATAAAAAGGTGAAATATTCCTTTTCGAAAATTCTTCTCTTATAGTTTGACACCTTATAATAACATACTGATGGCATATGCATGAGTGATGATGTTAGTATACAAATGAATAAATAATTTCAGAATAAGGTAGGTATCATTCGACCCCCTACTGGAGGGTTTTCATTCAGGGAGTGAAACTGGCTGAAAAATGTTTCCTCTTAAAATCAAAAATTGATGGGGCCGAACGATTTTTCGAAAATGACCGAGGGTGCCCAGAATCGGCTCTGTTTCATTTTCAAATGGCCAACATCGCCTTGGTATATAGATCACGAATCGAATCAAGATGACACATGGATGACACCTACAAGATGGCAAGATGAGTTTGTTATTCATCATCCGATCGGCCTGAACATTTATATCTGACTGTTTTCGAAGGCAATTAACACGAAATGTTAGTAAACATATATCAGGAATACAAAATGGCACCTTCATATATTAGCAACCAACATTCTAAATTTTCGTCTGTACCGGTTGGAAATGTACAACAATAGATGTGTTCGAGGTCGAGACAAATTTTGAGTGCAAATAGGGTAACGAAATATCCTACAATAATTATCACTTATAAATCCCCCAGGAAATGGATTATTGCCGGAAATGTTTTGAGTACATGAATTTCATGAGTAGCGGCGCGACGAGGGATAATTTTCTTTGGGATTCAGAAAGAAAATCTTATATACCGGAATTTTATTTCAAAAGAAAACATCAAATGAATATTATTTACTCTCCCTGTACCCTCGTAAAATAAAATTTATTGTATCATTATACATTATCACATAAAAATAAGTGATTGCATATGATATTCTCACTAGGTTTTCGGAGAATGAAAAATATTGTCAAAATTATTTTAATATTGTCTAATTATATTATATGATAGCTGTTATGTACTATAAAATTTGCACTTATTAATTTTTCGTTAACATGCTCATGTGGATGGAAAGTTTACAAAAAATTTGCTGGTTACCATGGTAACAATGTCAAAATAAAACATCTGATGGGTTGAAAATGACTGGTATGAAATTGTCAACTAAAACTGCTTTCAGGACTGGATCCAGCTAAACCTGGCTACAGACACAGCAGGTACGAGAACAGATTGGATCCAGGAGACGCTGTCATAGTTGATGTCATTCACACCCACGCGAAAATTCTGAGTCTTTCCGAACCCGTGGGTCACATTGATTTCTACCCCAATGGGGGTAGAACCCAGCCTGGATGTCCCGATATGGAAGACATTTGTAAGGGAATGTCATTCATTTCAATTTTAGTCTCAGCACTTGACTTTTCCGAATCGAATATAGCCGGATTAAACAAATATGTTCCTTTAATCTGTGGATTGTATTTTTGCGTGTTTGTCCAATGTATTTCGATCGAATCAGGAAGCTTGTTGCATTTTATGTTCAATTCAATTAATTCAAGCACAAACACTTTTTTAAACTGATAACTTCAATTTTCTGAGATGAGATTCAAAATGTTTCAGGGCAAATTGTTGAAAGTTTGATATGCAGCCATGGTAGGGCTATTTCGCTCTTTGCCGAGTCTATCAAGAACAAAAGGGCATTCAAGAGTTACAAGTGCGAAACAATTGAAGATGCCATCTACGGAATATGTTCGGAAGAAACCGATGTGTATATGGGCCAATCAGAAACATATAGGTGAGAACTAGATTAACTTCATTACCCTCTAATTGTGACTCAGGAAAACAAAACCTATACTTTTATTATTGTGAGACGAAAAAATATAACAAACTAGATGATTCGAACCTCTCAATTCCTTTTTGAGAAATTTACCATCCCGCCATAGGCCATCTTACAACTATTATAGCCTGACAACATTTCGAGGAGAGAAAAAGGGACTGAGTGGTCCTTTTTGATATTTCAAAAATTTCCTTTGGGTCTCTATGTACTTGGAAGGCTATTATGACTGACACTGTATTGCTCTTTGAACCTAGTTTCTCTTCGGACCTACTTTTCATATTTTTTTAGACTAAATATTATTCCACATCTTTGTTTCAGGAAAGGAATATTCTACGTACAAACAAAGGATAAGTCACCGTACAGTCTAACATAATCGTGCAATATAAAGTCTTCGATTTACATTCTGAGTTAACTTATTTATATCCTTTCTCAAGTTCCAGAAAAACTTACGATGACGATAACTATTTAACCGCTCCGTCGTGTTAGTAGGTGCGACCAAACTGACCTTGTCGTCTGTCATCTGTTATTCTGTCGGCGATTTAGTCACACCTCCATTATTGAAATTTGGATTGAAACGGTGAAATTGTTTTCAAATCTTAAAGATCATTAATGTAAAGTAGATATTCCATTTTTAAATAGTGTTGTGGTTGTGTCTCATATGACTGAGAATTCCAGATTTCCAGATCATCCAGTTTGTGTGATTGTGTAAGTACTTTATTGATTATTTTTTTACTTCTGATTTTTTGAGCTCTTTGGTAAAAACCGTGCGAACATTATCATCTACATACAATTGATAAGTATTTAGAAGAGGAATTTGCAAATAAATTGTAGGTAATATTTAAGGTAGTGTATTAGCAATTAATAATGAAACGATTAATTAATTTCAAATGATCTTTATTACAATAGTGATATAGGTAGGTACCTACTTATACGTATAGGTACTTGATTATAAATTACAAATATAGAGAAGAGTAGGTATTGTTGTATGTTGATTCACTTATAAATATATCAGTATGAACCTTATAAATTTGTCCAATTATATTATATATACGTGGATGGTACCTATCAGGGACTCAGGGAGGTGAAACTGAAATGAAGAAGGATTTATTAGGTGGATATAATATACACAGAAAAAGGTCTTTAGCAGTTTTGAACTCTTTTTCACCAATTTGTAGTCATCTCCTAGTTCATAGAATATTATTTCCCACATCGGTTTGTTGCTCAAAGTATTTGGTCTGAAGGGAGAAAACTTTGAATAGATTGAAATATACAGGGTTTAACCATTTGAAGGCAAGATATTCAATGATTCGCCACGTAAAAGAATTACCCATATTTTTCCGTATTTTTCACACATTTCGGGTACCTATCGACATTGTACCTGTCAAGGGTATATAGTAGGAGAGCCGACTGCAGATTTCTACCGTCAACTGATAACAAAATGATATCGGTATGTTCCAAAAAAAGTAAAAACATTTTAGTTCATCGAACGGCACCTGTGCCTATCACTATCCTGAGCAAAATGATAAAAAAATTGCACTTTCCTGTGCGGGAATTTGCACTCAATTTCGTGATTTGATAACTAGATAAGAATTATGCCATCCGATACCAATTGAAAGAAAGATCTCTAAGACCTACCTGGGCCTCCCCTCAGTCTGAGCCAAATCCACGGCTCAGCGATTAATTTGCTTCTATTATCCCGAACATAGATACAGGGTGGTCAAAATTCTGAATCACCCAGTATTTATTTCAAATGGTATCATTCTCGCTAGACCCCAGGTATTATAGATCGATGGAATCAGCTCTTCAGGGAGAATCTGAAAATGGAATTATATACAGGGTGTTCTATCGAAAAAATCAAAGTTGTTGCTACTTTTCAATGTAAGCGGCATCGTCGCAACGCTGAGAATATTTTAGGTCGATAAACACAACTGATTATCCAGGGCACCAACTTTTCAGAATAAACCTTAGTTGCGTTCTTCAGAAACGTCTAATGTGCCATCCACCGTGAATCACCCTGTATATTTTTTCGTTATCAGATGACGGTTGAAACTTGTAGCTTGTAGCCGGCTCTTGGACAAATAGTATAGTCCATTGAATGAATATGCCATTCAAGTATAGGTATGTATGTTGCCATCATGTAAGGTATAGGTATCATGGGATTTATCTATAGATCTCAAAACGACAAGAATCATATCTCTGTGACTCAGTTAAAACCTGTAATATTATCATAGCTGAAATATACAGATCGATATATTTGATCTACCCGTATTTTATGGCAGCATAGTGCGAATTTAGTATGAATAGTTTGAAATCATAGTTTATACAGGGTGTCCCATTGGGAAACGGAAAAACTTCAACGGTGTATACAGCTCGTCAAGGTGGTTCTGAATATATCATATTCGTAGGGTCTCACAAGTTTTTTATCGAAGATATTGTCACGAGTAGAACATACATACATACATAGGCTCTGGAATTCATTGCCTGTGGAAGTATTCCCAACAACATATGATCTCCAAAAGTTCAAAAAAAATCCAATACCTACCTCCTGTCCCTATCCTCCCTAGGAACGCACGATGTTCTTTGAACATTATAGGGATTCCCTTTCGTGCGCTCCAAGCGATAAAAAAAATCCATTGACATTGAACTATGATTACTGACCAAGGAACTCTCATGAGAAACGTGCAAATCTAATAAAATGGTGTATATAAATAGTCGAGTAAATAGTAGATGTGAATGAGCTTATATCACAAAAAATTTTCATTTCATAATTCGATAGAACTCACCCAAACTAGCTCACCACCGAAAACCGTTTCTTGCTGTGAGCTCCTTACGTTTTATAAAAAAATATTGAAATCCCCGATTTTTCGGACCTCTGAAAACGAGGTGATGATGTGACGTCAAAACCCTAAAACTGAAACAAGACTATTCCAGACAGAGATGAATGATACATGATTTTTGACAGAGTGAATTAGCGCGAGATCACAGTTGAAAGAATTAATAGGTATATCAGTTGCCTCAGTCTCCGTCGAGCATTTGGTATTTTCTTGTAACTCTGGCGAGATGAGGTTTTTACGTCATAAGAGGGTCCGTTTTCAGAAGGTACTATTATTTATGCCCAAAAATAAAATATTCCCAGTTAATTTTTCGATCGAATTATGTCGTCAATCATTATTTATGTATAAAAGGATCATTATAAACATGGTTTGAGTTAAAAGTTTTACTAAGGTGTACACGCCCAGTCTGGGTATACTCTTGACTTGACAAGAACTCCATTATAATGTAAGTTGTTATTAGGCCTTTATATTCATTGTTGGTTATTCATATTTTTCATTGCTACCCATAATGTTTCATACTTCAATAAATATTGTTAACTTTCAGTTACCCCTAAACTATTAGTGCCTATTCGAATATTACCTCTTGCAAACTATTAAGCCAAGCATTACCCGTTTTAAATCGATATGGATAGACTAACCATCTGTTTTATCGTGACAATATATAGGGTGTTTTATCAATTTTCCTCAATTATTTCTTTGGACCTAACTTACGAACCACCCAGTATATTCTTTTGGAATTTGGAATTCCGCCTTCTTCTACCGAACTCGACTCATCTATCAGTCACGTGAGGAATCCAGGGCCGGATTAACGGAAATTGATCAAATTTCTGGACCCCCAAAAGAATTGCCAAAATCCGCTTAAATATTTGGAGAGTGCACAAAAATCTGAATCGAACGGTGTACTTTTTATTCGCCCGCATGCTATTTTACTGAAGAATTTCTAATTTTCAATTTGAACTTTTATGCATTTGGATAAGTAAAAATGGAATATTTTGGCTCCATAAGAACACCCAGTATAGGCGAATTTCCAAAATTGAGGAAATGAAAGTTTTTCAACAGTGATATGTCATTATATCGACTTATTTGAAGAATTAATTTCCACAAAAACATAAGTTGGTATACTATCAATAGTAATTTTGAAATATACGTGAAGACACACTAATGGCTTATTTACCCAGATTACAATAGAATGCGGGAAAATAAAAAGTACACTTTTCAAATATGTTAGCGGATTTTGGAAATTCGAGAATACTGGGTGTTCTTTTTGGGGTCCAGAAATATGATCAATTTTCTTTGATCCGGACCTGGATTTCACTTGGGACTGATATGTGAGTCGTTTGGATAGAAGGGGGAGGACTTGTGTTTCTAATTTCAGCAGAATATACTGGGTGGTTCGTGATAATTTTTGTGATTCGATTGGGAAAACTCAAAATATTCCATTTTCACCTATCCAAATGCATGAAACCTCGAATTCAGAATCAGAAATTCTTTTATAAAATAGCATACAGGAAAATAAAGTGTACACCATGTAAGCGGATTTCGGGAATTCGGAAATACAGGGGGGTCTTTTTGGGGCCCAGAAGTGTCATCGTTTTTCTTTAATCCGGACCTGTATTTTTCTCTTGACTGATGGATGAGTCGCTTGGGTAGAAGAAAAAGAATTGTGTACCAAATTCCTAGAGAATATACTGGGTGGTCCGTAAGATATGTTGTCACAAAGAATTGAACAAAATTGATACAACACCCTATATGGCGGATATAAAACTTCTGAGACCCTACACATATGGTATATTCAGAACAACCTTGATGAGCTCTACCCACCGTTGAAATGTTTCCGTTTACTAATGGGACAACCAGTATAATAGTCATTATAGAAGTGATCCTTCTCCGATACGTATGGAAACAGCTGAAAGAGTGGGATCCGCATTTGAGAAAAATTGAAATTGCCTTCAGTTCTTCAAATGGGTCCTATAGAGGTTTCCATCGGTTTCCATATACATTTCAGAGGCCCTGTTAGAAAATTGTGCTGTATTAATCCATCCAAATCTCTCTACATATATTTAGTTTATTTTTACCTCTATTTCAACATGCATCTCTTGCAAATATAAAAAATTGAACTCATTGAAAAATATATTTTTTTGACATACAGTATAGGCTAACAATCGTAGTACATGTATTTATCTACACAGTACATTTATTTTATATCATTATACTAAATTTTCAAAAGATCCAAATGCAGAGTTATAATAATTTTCGAATCTCAAAAGGTCATACTTAAAACCATTTTGATGATGCTAATGCTAACTCTGTGGACTTTATGAATACCTCGATTTTACTTAGTGATTTACACAGATCATGGATTTTGTTTCTATTTTATTACGCATACATCCAGAATTCATTTCATATAAATGTACTTACTGTACGAAATTCATTTTGAAATTTGGTTTGGGTAGCTAGTATGAATTATTTCGGGTTTACCGACGTTTTATTATGTTCAATACTTGGAATCCAAATCACAAATATCCTTTGATTGGATTGGAATTCCAAACATACGAATTCTG